TGTGTGTGCCCTGTGTGTACATGCACAGCCCTGTGTGTCCATGCACAGCCCTGTGTGCCCTGTGTGTCCATGTGTGTGCCCTGTGTGTACATGCACAGCCCTGTGTGTCCATGCACAGCCCTGTGTGCCCTGTGTGTACATGCGTGTGCCCTGTGTGTACATGCACAGCCTTGTGTGTCCATGCACAGCCCTGTGTGCCCTGTGTGTACATGCATGTGCCCTGTGTGTACATGCACGGCCCTGTGTACATGCACAGCCCTGTGTGTACATGCGTGTGCCCTGTGTGTACATGCGTGTGCCCTGTGTGTACATGTGTGTGCCCTGTGTGCCCCGGGTCTGCACACACGGCCTCCATGTCCCGGGTCTGCACACACGGCCTCCATGTCCCGGGTCTACACACACGGCCCCCCCGACTCTGAGGACCCGCAGCACCGGGGCGTTTAGTCAGTGATGCGTTTATGTGGACACAGCGTTGTCACCGGAAGTCATTGTTCACATTCGGGGTCACTGTCTCCTTCTGTTGGTCTTGGCAAATCACAGTGGCACATGCTCACGGTGTGGCGCCTGCAGAGCAGTGCCACTGCCCTCCCCCTCCCTGGCTGATGCCAGTGACGCTGATCTTTTGCTATCTCTATAGCTTTGCCTTTTCTAGAATGCTAGTTGGAATCATGCAGTGCAAAGATACCTCAGTATATGCGTGGAAAAATGAGATAAAAGATAAGTTTACTTTGGCTCGAACTATTTTTAAATCCGTGCATGGTTTTTCATGCTACGCATTTCCATGGACTGTTTGAAGCCCCTGCATATAATCTCTTCAGACTGACTTTTTCACTTAGTACCATGCCTGTGAGTTTCTTGCTGAAGGTGTTTGCAAAAAATCTGCTTATCCCTTTTTTTTTTCAATTTGTAAGTACAGCATAAACACAAGCAATTATAGCAGATAGGATGCTGTGTTGTTTTTTTTTTTCTTTAAAGATTTATTTATTTGAAAGAGTTACACAGAGAGAGAAGGGGAGGCAGAGAGAGAGGTCTTCCATCCACTGGTTCACTCTCCAGTTGGCCACAGTGTCTGGAGCTGCACCAATCCAAAGCCAGGAGCCAGGAGCTTCTTCCAGGTCTCCCACGCGGGTGCAGGGGCGCAAGGACTTGGACCATCTTCCACTGCTTTCCCAGGCCACAGCAGAGAGCTGGATTGGAAGTGGAGCAGCTGGGACTCAAACTGGCACCCATATGGGATGCCAGCACTGCAGGTGGCAACTTTACCCGCCATGCCGCAGCTCTGGCCCCGAGTGCTATGGTTTGAAAATAGCTGGTGAATGGGAATATTCTAGTGTGAACTTTTTTTAGCATAGAATTTTTTGAAATGCACAGAATTCACTGGTGCTCCTTTATTTCAGCAAAGGAGATTGCTGACTTATCCAGTTCTCATTCATTCATCGTCTCCTTTCTTCCCAACCTGAAATTATACAGAGGAGAGATTGGCAAGCAGGCGTGCTCACTCCCATAACCAGCATGATCAGGAGGGTGAAGTTGGGTACTGGAGGAAGCTACAGTCAGAGGGGGAAACAGACACTGTTCCTGCGCATAGTTTCTTAGTTGGCTCTCTTTATTTCTTTAAGATTTATTATTTTATTTATTTGGAAGGCAGAGTTACAGAGGGAGAGAGGGAGAGAGAGAGATCGAGATCTTTCATCTGCTGGTTCACTCCCCAAATGGCTGCAACAACCGGAGCTGGGCCAGACCAAAGCCAGCAGCCAGGAGCTTCTTCTGGGTCTCCCACGCGGGTGCAGGAGCCCAAGGACTTGGGCCATCTTCTGCTGCTTTCCCAGGCCAAAGCAGGGAGCTGGATCAGAAGTGGAGCAGCCAGGACTTGAACCCCATGGAATGCCGGCATTACAGGGGGTGGCTTCACCAGCTACGCCACAGTGCTGGCCCCGGCTCACTTTATTACACAGAAATGTTACAGAAGAAACAAAACAGAGGCATGCGCCCAGACTGTGGCTCATGGTGGTAAAGAAAGCTTTCAAAGGACTCAGTCCATGTTCTGCGTGCTGTTCCCTTGCAGGCTAGAAATGAAAACCTCAGCAACACGTTGGTGGAACTCTCTGCTCAGGTGGGGCAGCTACAGGCGCGAGAGCAGTCCCTCACCACCATGATCAAGCTGAAGGTAACAGAGCAGAGGGCCGTGGAGCTAGATCCGCCCCCGGGCCCCACCCGGCCCGGAGGCACCGGGAGAAGCGAGGGAATCGAGCTTAAAATGATGTCCTCGAAGCCCTGGGAGGGGCAGTGGGGCTCCGTCATGGCCGGGGTGCCTGAATCCCCTTGCTTTCCTCCCAAGGACCCACGGTTGGGAATCAATTGGTTGGTGCCATTTTGTGTGTCAGCAGTCAAGCGGTTGCCATGGTCACTAATGTTGTAGACAAGTGCGGTGGTCCTCGGTGTCTTTTGCTGTGGGCTGCCTTGGACCCCGGTAAATAGGGGGATGGTGTTGGTGCAGCAGGTGCGGGGAGTCATCATCTTCACTCGCCTGCAGCGGATTCGTGGGATTTCCAGGCCCTCCTGCGGGTGCCTTGGCAGGGCCTGTGCAGGTCGCTCCCCACCCTGGAACGGGCCACTTGTGCTACTTTCTGTGGGGTTTTTCCCAGCACAGTCGTGATTGAAAGGGGTATGGGTGGGCTCTCTTGAAGTTAATCAGAGTGCTTTAAAATCGACAGAACTGTCTTTAGTCCAGCAGTGGCCATTTTATTGGCTTCCACACCGCCATGGTTTCCCTCGTAGCCGCCATGGTCCCAGGGAAGATGGCGCGAGGGCCTTCCCCGCAGCGTGGAAACAGGGGTCAGTGAAGAAGGAGCTGGGCTTTTGTTTTCATGGCAGCGGTCTCTATTAGAGGCGAATGCGCTCCAGGACGTAGTTACCGCAGGAGGAGGCAGGAGCCCAGGCGAGGTCTGAAGGAGACGGCTCACTGGGATCACGCGCCTGTGAGCGCTGTTTCTCCGGGCGCTGGCCTGCTCCCAGGTTGTGCTGGGTTTAAATCTGCTGAGCCCTCTTGCTCCCATCCGTCTTCCTGCAGGGGGGGCTCGGACGCTGAGCTGTTCCAGAAGGCAGCCTGTGACGCTGAAGCAGGGGTGGAACCGGTTACTCATGGTGGTTCCACCTGATCCGGAAGGGGGGGCCTTTCCTGGCTGTTCTAGACCTTGTATTGTTTGAACTCCTTTTAGCAAGCAGGCACCTTCCTGTGATTCAGACAACTCAGCAGTACGGTTCTCACGTGCCCAGGCTGGGGCTGAGGTCGTGGGGCCCGCGGGAGGGGTCTCCCCACCCCAGGCTGTCAGGCCGCCCGTGCTGTCTCCTCTGGAGCCTGCTGAGGGACAGGAAGTGCAGAGGCAGCACGGGCCTGCGTCTGTGCGTGGCGGTGACCACACCACCTTGCTGTGCAGGTTGAGAGTTACTGCATGAGGAGTGCTTAGGGCGGAGGCTGGCGCTCAGGGACGGCCTGGTCAACGTCATCTTTTCTCACCAGTTAGAAGGAGTTTATCAATCTAGTGTAACCATTTTCCAATTTGGTTTTTAGGACAAAGATATCATTGAGGCAGTCAATCACATTGCCGACTGTTCGGGTAAATTCAAGTTGTTAGAGCACGCTTTGCGCGATGCCAAGATGGTGGAGACTTGCATTGTGAAGGAAAAGCAAGACTACAAGCAGAAGCTAAAGGCGCTTAAGATTGAAGTCAGCAAGCTGAAAGGTAAGGCCGAGACGCGGGTCCGGGGCGTCCCTGGCCAAGACGCAGGGCCCAGGTGGCCGTGTGTGCACAAGACACCGGGCCCAGGTGGCTGTGGACAAGACGTGGGTCCAAGGTGGCCGTGGACAAGACGTGGGTCCCAGGTGGCTGTGGACAAGACGCGGGTCCCAGGTGGCCGCGTGTGCACGAGACACAGGGCCCAGGTGGCTGTGGACAAGACGCAGGTCCCAGGTGGCCATGGCCGAGACGCGGGTCCCACCAGGTGGCCGTGGCTGAGATGCGGGTCCTGCAGGCACACGTTTCATTTGGACTCCATCTGATACTCACGAGTGGATCTGTCCTGGGCCTTACCTGGTAACATGAGTTATCTGCGGTGTTTACATAGAACTGGGCAAATGACAAAGCGGCGGAGATGCACAGAGCCCCGGATGTGAAGGGAATCCTGCCCTGGTGTAGGGGCCGTCCTCGTCAGTGTCGCTAAGCCCACATGGGGGAAGAACTCGGAGCTTCCACTCCCTCTCCTGGTGACACCAAGCACGCCGGTGTGTTCCCAGCCTGGAACCTGTTCTCTCAGACCCCACGTGTCCTCATGGAGGAATTTGCGTGTAGCCCCAAGTCCGCCTTCCCTCCCCTTCCAGGAGGTCAGTGGGAAGGCGGAAGGCTCTGGGCCTCGGTCGCGTGGTCCCCTCCTGAGTCCGTCACCGCCTGCAGCCGACCCTGGTGGGACTCCAGGGCTGCTCGGCTGTGACAGGAACACCTCACGCTCAGGCTGCGGGGCTCTGTGCCAGTGACAGAGGCGTTTCTTGCCTTACCCCAGTCCTGTTCAAGGGAGCCAGGAAGGAAGCAAGGGGGATGGGTAGGGTTTGTGGCAATGATTGGATTTTGTCCTAAATGCAGCGGAAGGGCTTTTAACCGAGAAATGACGGGAGCAGATTCTTATTTTTCAAGACTGCTGTGTGCACTGGGCTGCAGCCAGGGAGGCCCGGCCGGCGCAGGGAGACCAGCAGGAGGGGGCAGAGCTGTGGCGGGGGTCACGTGCGGGGTTCGGCCGTGGCTGCAGCAGGGCACTGTGGCAAGGGGAAGGGTGCTGGGCGCGCGAGCTTCGTCGCAGGCTCGCTGTCCTGGGCACTGGTGTTCATCTGCGGCCTTTCCCCCTCGTGTCTGTGGAGACGACCTCAATGAGAAGACCACGGAAAATAACGAGCAGCGAGAGGAGATCATTCGCCTCAAGCAGGAGAGGAGCGGCCTGCACGACGAGCTGGTGTTTACTGGTAAAAGTAGATGACTTCTTCTAATGGTTTTTCTAAAAAATATTTTTATTTATTTGAAAGGTAGAGTTACAGAGAGAAAGGTCTTCCATCCGCTGGCCACAATGGCTGGAGCTGGGCTGATCTGAAGCCAGGAGCCAGGAGCTTCTTCCTGATCGCCCATGTGGGTGCAGGGGCCGAACCACTTGGGCCATCATCCGCTGCTTTCCCAGTCCATTAGCAGGGAGCTGGATCAGAAGAGGAGCAGCCGGGACTTAAACCGGCACCCGTATGGGGTACCAGTGCCACAGGCGGAGGCTTAGACTACCGTGCCAGAGTGCCGGCCCCAAACGTACACGGTCTTAAGTGACTGAATAGTTGTGCACGTGGAGCCTGGGCTGTTCCGTGAGTCCTCTGTGACAGCTGGTAGAATCAGCCCCTCTCTAAAGAGCTGCGCTACGTTTTCAGGTTTCTTTAAACACCCTGTGCGGGACTGGGACCAGGCGGAGAGCTGTGAAGCTGTCTCCCTGCCCACACCGTCCATTTCCTCTTCTGCAGAATGAGGAGCCCCTCTCGCCCGTGTGGCCTGCGACCAGGCCTCTCGCTGAAAGCCTCGTCTTCCTGCTTGAAAGCCACTTGAAAAAATCCCCAAGTGGGCGCTTGCTGCAGTGGCTAAGAGGCCACGTGGGGCACCTGCATCCCACGTCAGAGGGCCTGGGTTCAAGCCTCGCCTCGGCTTCTGTCCAGCTTCCTGCTAATATTGACCCTCAGAGAGAGCAGACGACGACCCGCGTTCCTGGATCCCAGCCACCCACGTAGCAGACCCAATCGGAATTCCTGGGTCCTGGCTTCAGCGTGGCCCAACCCCGGCTGTTGCAGGCATTTGGGGGAGTGAACTTGTAGATGAAAGATGTCTATCTCTCTGAATCTCTGCCTTTCAAATAGAAGGGACAAAGTGTTCTTTAAAGGAACCTAGCGGGTCTGTGTGTGGTGCAGCAGGGTAAGTCACCACTTGCAGTGCCAGCATCGCTCATCAGAGCACCGGTTGACTCCCAGCTGCTCCACTTCCCATCCAGCTTCCTGCCATTGTTCATGGAAGCCATGGAAGGTGGAAGATGGCCCAAGTGCATAGGCCCCTGCCGCACATGTGAGAGACCCAGGTGGAGTCCAGACTCCTGGGTTTGGCCTCAACCAGCCCTAGCCTTTGTGACCATTTGGGGATGAACCAGCACATGTCTTTTCCCTCTTTTGTCTGTCCCTCTGCCTCTCAAATAAATAAATAAATCTCTTTTTTTTTTAATCTTACAGATCAATGAAGGGAGGACATTTATAATTTTGCAAATACTAGATAAAACTGGAAATTCAACATTTTTCCAGTTTTGCAAATACATCACATACAATTATTATATTTAGAAAAATACTCACGTGTTTTATTGTATCAGTGTGACCTTGAAATAAGAATGCAGGGATGACATTTTCTGGATCTAAAGCAAGTTTCCTAATGTCCCCTTTGGATAAACATGGAAATCACATTGGGTCCCCTGCCCACCCCTCCCAGCTGAACCTCGGTGGTATCTGGAGCTGATTTGTATCCCTGCCAGCCACAGGTTTTACTGGGTTTCGTTTTGATAGGAAAATCATAGATTTGGAGGCAAAGTTCAAAATGGGGAATTAGATGAACAATTTTGACTCAGCTAATGCCTACCCTCCATCCCTCTTTCTAAGGGAGAATAAGTTTCTGAACACTAAAAGGACAAAATCATATTCCACTGAAGATTGTCCAGTGAAGGGGGACTCTTGTCTTGGTGGAGGACGGAGGAAGGCCGTGTGATCCTCCACCACGAGAGGGCGCTGTGTGCACTTCTGGGGTTGCCGGGCCGCCATCGCCGCCTCCTGTTTCTGGCTGTCTGTGTGCCTGGCGCCCTGGGAGTTGTGGAGGGGCTCACGGGCCCCCCGAGAACGCAGCGCTCTACAGATGCTGTGCACAGAGCGCCGTGGCAGCAGGGGAGGGGGCTTTCGATGTTTATGACATCCTTCGCAGGCCATCCAGGATCATTAGCTCAAACGCCGTCGGCTGTGGGGTTACTGAGTGTAAGTCGTGCCTGTGGCTGCCCTGGCAAGGCCAGGCCAGATGATTGGACGATTCTGTGGGCCGTGGACCGCCCTGGGCCAGACGTCGCCCAGCACTGCTGTAGGGGTCGGAGGAAGCGCTGCAGGATGGCTGCCAGTGCCCTTCTGATCACGTGTAGCTGGGCGAAGTATGTGGATTGCTGGGTGATGTCACAGCCTGTTTTGTGAATGACTTTTCTGTCATTTCTTAAGCTGATTCCTTTTTCTCTTTTCCTTTCAAAGTTTTATTTATTGATTTGAAAGACGGAGAGACAGAGATCTTCCATGTGTTGACTGACTTCCCAAACGCCTGCAAGGCCAGGGCAGGGCCTGGCTGAAGCCGGGAGACAGGAACTCCGTCCATGTCTCCCACGTGGTGGCAGGAACCAAAGTGCTTGTCATCGTTTGCTGCCTCCCAGGCACGTTAGCAGGAACCCGGATTCAAAGTCCAGAGTAGGGGCCGGCGCTGTGGTGCAGCAGGTTAAGTTCTGTCTGCGGTGCTGGCATCCCATGTGGGCACCAGTTCAAGTTCCGGCTGCTCTGCTTCCAGTCCAGCTCCCTGCTAGTGCACCTGGGAAAGCAGTGGAAGATGGCCCAAGTACTCGGACCCTGCACCCACGTGGGAGACCCGGAAGAGGCTCCTGGCTCCTGGCTTTGGCCTGGCCCAGCCCTGGCCATTGCAGCCATTTGGGGAGTGAGTCAGCAGAGGACGATTCTTTCTGTCTCTCCTCTCCCTCTGTAACTCTGACTTTCAAATAAACAAATAAATCTTAAAAGAGAGAGAGAAAGTCAGTCCGAAGTAGCCAGGACTTGAACGAGGCCCCCTGCTATCGGATGCAGGCGCCCTAGCAGCTGCTTGACTCGAGGCCCGCAACACCTGCCCCCAAGCTGGTTTCCTAGGACTCTTCTCATACCATTGTCCCAGAACAGCTCCTACGTTCCAGTCACAAAAGGGAAGCAAGCCCAGGAACAGCATCTCAGGCTTAGCGGGATAGTACGTAGTGGAAGGCTGAAGGTCGACACATTGTCTTTGAAGTTTACTTTTTTCCTCTTTTTTTTTTTTAATACAAATTCTTTTTAAAATGTATTTGAAAAAGTTAGAGAGAGAAGGAGAAAGAGAGAGAGAGAGATCTTCTGTCTGCTGGTTCACTCCCCAAATGGCCTCGACAGCTGGGGCTGGGCCAGGCCCAATCCACAAGCCAGGAGCTTCTTCCGGGTCTTCCACATGGGTGCAGGAGCCCAAGGACTTGGGCCATCTTTCTGCTGCTTTCCCAGGCTTGGAGGCCTATTCGTTTGTGTGAAATCCCATCAGCAGTATGCAAGTGGATCCTGCCAGGGCTGGGCTGAGGCTCGGGCTGAATCTCACCCAGGTCTCCCAGGCAGTGAAAGGTGGAGCCCTGGCGAGAACCTAGCAGGTCCCACAGGTCCGGTGCACTTGGCTCCGTGCAGTCCTCTGCGTGCGCAGGAAACAGCGGCCCGCTCTGCTCTGCTTTCATCTCCCAGCTAAGCCGCGCAGAGAAAGCTGCCGGGATGCATTGCCAGTTACGGTGGTCCTGCCTCGCTCCGTGTAGATTACTCCAAAATCAGCTAGGATGACTGAAGTTACCTGAGGGCCAATTAAAAAGTAGGTGTTTAGGGGCCAGGCCGTGGGGTACCTGCGGCGCAGCAGAGGGCATGGGGCAGAGACCGGCGACCATGGGCGTCACTGCCGCAGTGAAAGTAGCTGGGTTTCCCTTTTATTTTTTCTTTGTGCGTATAATTGAATTCATGTAGCTAACGGGGATTCCCTGTGAGTGATGCAGGCCCCCTGTGGGTCTGTTACACTGTTGACTTGCGTGGTGCAAAGGGGTGAATTAATAATGACCTGGCCCGGTCATTATTCTCGAATTCCGCACGCGTCACCTTGAGAAGGAAGATGACACCACAGGCCTGTGCTGGGAGGGCCTGAGCAGTCAACCTGCTTGGGGGGGGGGGGGGGAGTGGCCTTCAGAGACTCCTCCCCACGCTCTCCACTGCTTGGCCCTCGGGCCACCCACAGATGCTTCCCTTGTGGAGCTGGGGTCTCCTCAGAGCCCGCGCCTCCCTCTGAGTGCTCTCGACCCGCTGCACAGCCCCGGGGAAAGAGCAGCAGGCGTTTGCGTGCAGGGCCCAGAGTGGTAAACGTCCGTGTGCTGTGTGTTCGGGGTCCTGAAAACGGGTCGGTGCACGGTCGGGCTCACTGTACCCATTCAGCTGCAGCCTGTTTTAGGAAGGTGTTTGTCGTGGGAGGGGCAGTGCCTTTTAACTTCAGCCATTCTTATAGTTAGGTAGTGAGGCTCGTCGGGTTTTTGAAATTACTTTTAATTGAGACATAATGGAACCAGCCCTTCAATATGGGATGTGAGCGTCTCACATGGTAGCTTAGCCTGCTGCTCCACACCACCGGCTCTTGAGTTTGATTTTTTTTTTTTTAGATTTATTTTTATTCATTTGAAAGGCATAGTTACAGAGAGAGAGAGAGAGACAAAGAGATATTTTCGGGGCTGGCTCCGTGGCGCAATAGGTAAATCCTCCGCCTGCGGCACCGGCATCCTGTATGGGCGCCAGTTCTAGTCCCGGCTGCTCCTCTTCCAGGCCAGCTCTCTGCTGTGGTCTGGGAGTGCAGTGGAGGATGGCCCAGGTCCTTGGGCCCTGCACCCCATGGGAGACCGGTAGAAGGCACCAGGCTCCTGGCTTCGGATTGGCGCAGCTCTGGCCACTACAGCCAATTGGGGAGTAAACCAGTGGATGGGAGACCTTTCTCTCTGTCTCTCCCTCTCACTGTCTGTAACTCTACCTCTCAAATAAATAAATAAAATTTTTATATAAAAATTGAAAGAGATATTTTCCATCTGCTGCGGTGCTTCCCAAATGGCCACAACAGCTAAGGGCTTCCTCCAGGTCTCCCACGTGGGTGCAGGGCCCAACCACTTGGGCCGTCTCCTCTGCTTTGCCAGATGCATCAGCAGGGAGCAGCCAGGACTTGAACCAGTGGCCATATGGGATGCTGGCATCGCAGGCAGCAGCTTAACCCACTGTGCCACAGTGCTGGCCCCTCCTGAGTTAGATTTTAAGTGAAACATTTAATGTTGGTGTCTCAGCTCTGTGGGAATCAAATCATTTCTCCTAAAACATAGTAACATTTTTTCTCCTATGATATGTTACCGTAGAGTCTTTCTTTAAGATTGATTTATTTATTTGGAAGGTAGAGCAGAGAGAGAGGGAGAGAGAGAAATAACTTCCATCTGTTGGTTCACTCCCGGAATGCCTGCAATAGCTGGGCTGGACCAGGCCAAAGCCAGGAGTCAGGAGCGTCATCCGGGTCTCTCCACACCGCCCTCTGCTGCCTTCTCAGTCGCATTAGCAGTAAGCTGGTTGGGAAGTGAGGAGCTGGGACTCGAACTGGCACTGCCATATGGGCTGAACCCCTGGGCCACAGTGCTGGCCCCGATTCTCTTATTTCTGCAGCTTCTCACCTGCTCATCGTCAGGCTAATCCACAAATGCTGATTTCTCCTAGCTGGGACTGGAGTGCTCACCTTTAACCACGGTGTCTGGGCCTTGTAAAAAGGACTTTAAAAACAGGACGCTGCCTCTCTTAGTCCTTGTGCACTGAGGCATTGAGTGTGCTACTCTGCCTGGGAAGGAGTGCTCTCAGGCTCGGCGCCCAGCAGGTGAACAGAGCTCTCGGGAAATCGAAGGCTTTGAAAGTGGGCGGGGCTTTCAGCGAAGCGGGAGCACCACCTGCTCCTGCTGGAGAGATTCAGGGTGACGGAGGTTTACACTGAAAGGTTGCTTGTGTAATATGAGAAATTTTTTTTTTTTTTTTGACAGGCAGAGTTAGACAGTGAGAGAGAGAGACAGAGAGAAAGGTCTTCCATCCGCTGGTTTAGTTTACTCCCCAATTGGCTGCAGTGGCCAGAGCTGTGCCAATCCGATGGCAGGAGCCAGGTGCTTCTCCTGGTCTCCCATGGGGTGCAGGGCCCAAGCACTTGGGCCATCCTCCACTGCACTCCCTGGCCACAGCAGAGAGCTGGCCTGGAAGAGGGGCAACCGGGACAGAATCCGGCGCCCCGACCAGGACTAGAACCCGGTGTGCCGGCGCCGCAGGCGGAGGATTAGCCTAGTGAGCCGCGGCGCTGGCTGAGAAATGTTTAAAACTAAAGTAATATGCAGTAAGTGCAGAGATTTGGAAGCCACTCCCACTTCCTCCCCTGCCAAGAGGAAGAAAAATGACTGTTCAATCCTCCCATCTAAGCTCACTTCCAGTTTCAGCCTCTTCGCTCTCAGAGATTCTCTGTGTTTAGGTAAGTACAAACACACATGTGAGTTTGAATCCCTTTGTGCGACTCAGCATTAATTACACTAAAAGTTTTTCCAATTGGGAACAGCATTGTAGCTCAGCAGGTTAAGCCACCACTTGTGACGCCAGTTCCAGTCCCAGCTGTTCCACTTTTAGTCCCGCTCCTGCTAATGCCCCTGGGAAAGTAGCAGAGGATGGCCCAAGTATGTGGGTCCCTGCACCCACATGGGAGACCTGGATGGCCTCAGCTCCTGGCTTCATCCTGGCCCAGAGCTGTTTGTTGTGGCCATTTGGCAAGTGAACCAAAGGATGGACAATATCTCTGTCTCTCTTCTTCCTCTCTGTCACTGTGACTTTCAGATAAATAAATAAATCTAAAAAAGACACAAATTTTCCCATTTGGCAAATGAACTGGTCCGGATCACAGATCAAAGCTCCCTGGTCAGCCATTTTGCTACATTTAAGTTCACAAACAACAAAAATATGTTAGTGTCCCCCCCACCCCCCACCCCAAGCTGTAGCCGGCGTTTGGGGAGTGAACCAGTGCGCAGAGGCTCTCTGGCTCTTGTCCTCACTCTCTCTCCCTCCTCTTTCGGTCACTCTGCCTTTCAAATCAGTAAATCTGTAAAAAATGAAGTCAGTTGGGAAGTTGGGAAGGGGGCTCTGCACTGATGAGGCTGGCGGAACGTGCTTTGACGGTTGTCCTTCGACAGTGGAGAGAGAGAAGAGGAAAGATGAGCTACTGGACATCGCGAAGTCAAAACAGGAGCGCACCAGTGCCGAGCTGCACAACCTGAGACAGGTGGGCGTCCGGGGACCGCTCCCTGCCGGTCTCCAGGAAAGTCCCTGCTGTGGGGTTGTGGGTGGTCTTTTGGGATCCAGATTACCTTGGGTGCGAACCGTGTTAGCATAGCTGATGGGGTCTTCCTTATGGTGATTAAAGGCTGGGAGACCACTAACAAACCTGTTGCTGACACAAGCAAAAATAAAGCGAGTGTATTTACTGTATTTCTGCAGTAGCCCCCTGATCTGGTTTTGGGTTTGAAGCTGCCGTATCGTGCGCTGGTTCAGTCTGGTCCTGTTGTATCCCATGTTGACTTTCTGTGTCTCTCTCTGGCAGATTTATGTGAAACAACAGAGTGATCTGCAGTTTCTGAATTTCAATGTGGAGAATTCTCAGGAATTAGTGCAGATATACGACTCCAAGACGGAGGAACCGAAGGCTCTGGAGTGCAGGTAATCCTGCTGAGGCGGTGTCACGATGCACTTGTACTTTTTTTTTTTTTTTAAGGTTTATTTGAAAGAGTTACACAGAGAGAGGAAGAGAGAGGGAGAGATCTTCCACCCGCTGGTTCACCCCTCAAATTGCTGCAATAGCAGGACCTGGGCCAGCCCAAAACCAGGAGCCAGGAGCTCTTCCAGGTCTCCCACATGGGTGCAGGGGTCCAGGCACTTGGGCCATCTTCTGCTGCCTTCCCAGGCGCATTAGCAGGGAGCTGGATTGGAAGTGGAGCAGCCGAAACTTGAACCACAGTACCCATAAGAGATGTGTGCTGCAAATGGCTTCTTCTTCTTCTTCTTTTTTTTTTTTTTTCCTGGACAGGCAGAGTGGACAGTGAGAGAGAGAGACAGAGACAGAGAGAAAGGTCTTCCTTTACCGTTGGTTCACCCCCCAAGTGGCCGCTGCAGCTGACGTGCTGCAGCCGGCGCACCTCGCTGATCCGAAGCCAGGAGTCAGGTTTTTCACCTGGTGTCCCATGTGGGTGCAGGGCCCAAGGAACTGGGCCATCCTCCACTGCCTTCCCGGGCCACAGCAGAGAGCTGGACTGGAAGAGGAGCAACCGGGACAGAATCCGGCGCCCCAACTGGGACTAGAACCCGGTGTGCCAGCGCCACAGGCAGAGGATTAGCCAAGTGAGCCACGGTGCCGGCCTGCAGATGGCTTCTTAACCACTGAGCCACAGTGCCAGCCCCATATAAATAAATCTAGAAAAAATGAGGCGTGGGAAAGAGAGGGCCTAGGCATGGAAGCGCAGGTCTGCACTGGACGGACCTTGCCGCCCGCCACTCGTGGGGCCTGAGGCCTTGCTGGGTGCTGTTCCCCTGTTGCTCCATGTCCCAGCTGCTGCTGTGCCCAGGAGATACCAGACCAGCTCAGGGTGCTCTTCCCGGAAAGCCCCTAACAGGTTGGCTCTCTGTTCTCTGAGCTTCATTGACACGAGATGAGCTGCGGCCATTCCTTGAAAGCATAAAGTGGTTTGTGCCTTAACAGGGCGCGAGCTGTGTTTTCCAAGGATCAGGTGGCCTGAGTGCGTGTGGCATGCACACTTCAAAGGGAAATGGTCCCGTCTTTGTAGTAGTCTTGGTCTGTTGGTGTATAGACAGTCTCTGCAGCAGGAGATAAGAAAGGAAGGGAAGGTGGAGGGAGGGGCTAGGCCTGGGCTGTAACGACCAGGCAAGTGGGTCTTCCCCGGGCTTTGCTGTGTTCATGAGATGAGAATGTCAAATGTATCTCACCACGTCCGTGTTTTTGTAATGTTACCATAGCAGAGACATGTGTTTATCAGACCTTGAGATTCACCACTCAAAAGTCGACATGAAAAGGGAGAAACATCAGAAGTCACTGGTTAGGGACCAAAAACTGGAGGCGGCGTTGGCTCAGCACAGTAGGCTGGACAGGGGCTCCTGTGACGCCTGCAAGGAGGGCCGGCTGCAGGCGGGCGCTGCGTTCGGGGAGAAGGGTGCGGTCGCACTCTCGTCTCTGCTCACCAAGGACTCGACAGAGAGGCAGAAGCCGTGGTCTCTGGGAGGGAAACTCCAAACTGAGCCTGAAAGCAAAGTGACCTTGTGCAAGGCCCACGCAAAGTCACCAAAGGGCGACGGAAATGGGCTTCAGAACGAAGAGACACCCGCGGCCGGCGACAAGCAGTGGCACGCCATGAACGTCTACCTGGGCCTGGCCGGCTGCTCTGGCTCCAGACCGCCGGGGAAGCTGGATGTGGAGTGTCAGGATCCCACGGAAAGGGCCGAGATCTCTTGTGGCCAGGACAGCGAGGCCTGTCTGGGTGACGCTGACGTGTGTGAGTCCGCGTGCTGCCACCCCAGCAACCTTGTGGTGGAGGCGCTGGGCCCTGTGTCTGACGTCGCGTGGATGAACATCTTCAAGCCTTCCAAGACGCAGAGGATCGTCCGCCACAAATCCGCGTGCACCTGCTCAGGAAGCGTCAGTGGCATGAAACATAGCTCCTCCGTGAGGTTGGTAATGGCCTGGCCGTGAACACCCGGCCGCGCGCGTGCGGAAGGTAGAGGCAGAAAGGGCCGCGGCGGCCCCTCTGCGCCCACGGTGAAGCGGAAGTGGTGTCTGCGAAGGGCAGGCTTGTCTTGGGCGAGCCACTGGGTCTTTTCCTCATTGCGGGGCAGAGCGCGTTGTTGTTTGTACAGAGACTATTAGATTCCAGCGAACAGCCTCTGAGGCAAAGGTTTTGCTTGAAAACAAAGCCAGTTGTTAAGAGCTGAGCAAATATGTTTTATAAAAAAGCAAACGGACGGTCACCACACAGTGGAGTGCTGCTCGGAGCAGCCCTCGCCCGGGAGCCGCTGTGGAGGTCAGACCACGCGTCCCGAACCCGAGCTGGGGTCTGCCCGGGTCCGGGGCCACCTGGCGTTTTGCTTGCCCGTGTGTCCAGCGTATGCCTGCCTCTGCATTTACATTTCCCGAGGTCTCTGGTTTTTAAACCTCATGTGTGAGAGAGAATATTTGTGTTTAACAAGCTGCTAAAAGTTACTGGGGGTTTGGGAGAGGAAACAGGTGAGTTAGTAGCCTGAGCGGTTCTCCAGGCTCGTCTGCCTGATGGGTCGCTGAGCCCTGGGGCTGAGCGGTGCTGCAGTGCTGTGTGTTTCTAAATGAGGCACAGCTCTTCAATGCTAAATCACAGGAAGGACGAGCTTTCCACATGAGAACCTTTCTAGTCATCACGCGACTTCATGATGGAGCCTCTTCCTGCTACACACGGCGTTAGGAGTAGGCTTGGGCTCTTTTAGAAGCTTGAGTCATTCACAGATCATCCGGATATTCTGCCAAGTTGCAAACTCTAGAAGAAATTGCTGTCCCACTAAATGTCATCTATTCATATTTGGTTTTTTAAAGATCTTCTTTGAATAATTGCGAATATCAGTAGGGCACACTGCCCGTTTCTCACTGATAAACGTGAACACTCGTGTTAAGGGAGAGCTGGTGGCAGCCGGTTTTGAGCAGAGTGGACGGCTGTGAATGTAATGAGTGACACACATTCACTGTCCCGCGTAGTCGTCTTTCAAGGCCCCCTTGGCCTCGCTTCCTTAGAGGGACCCACGTCCACTGTTCTTCCCGCAGAGGCACGTGCCAGGGCACCGCGTGACACGTGCGTGATTGTGTGGAAGAGAGAGTTGTAGATTGTAGGCGCTGGGTGCCCCTTCCTTATCTGGCTGCAGTGTTGGCGTTCCTGCAGCGGCGCCTGGGCGGGGAGGAGCTCCTGGTGGGCTGGAACTTGAGTGACAGGCACAGAAACCCCGCCCCGGGTTTGCCCCGGGTACTGAGGCCCTGCCGACCTCAGCGGTCCCCACAGTGGAGTCCACCTTCACAGAAGGGCTCTACAGAGCCAGGCACAAAGCCCAGCGTCCTGCCAGTCTTGCCTTAGGCTGAGATGGCCCTCCCCTCCCTTCCCAGCGTCCTGTCCCCGGAACCTTCTCCCTGGTTGTTTGGAGGAGGGGAAGCTCCCACTGCGCAGCGACTCTTGACTGGGAATTCTGTTTTGCTTCACGTTTGTGTGAGGGATGCTCTGACTCGTGACGTGCCACGCACGCGTCTCTGGCTGAAGAAGTGACTTTTTGCCCTGCTGGGCCACGTGGCGGGGGCGGTGCTGGTGACACGCTGTTCTGAGTTCCGCTCGGTTCTGCTGTTCACAGGGAGCTGATCGCCACCCAGCACACCCACTGTTTGGGTTCTTCGAAGCCTGCCTCGCGGGAGGATGAGGCCGAGGCCTCGTGTGATAAAAAGAGCCCGTGCAAGCCTTCGTCTGCGCCCAGGGACAGGGACGCGGTGCTGCCCGCCGAGCAGGTCTGTATCTTGTGCAGCTCCCGGCCCCTGCGTCAGCCTCCCACCAGAGCCTTGGCCTTCTTCCCTGTGCTCGCTTCACCTGGCCGCTCCGTGACTTTAAATGTAGGACTTGTTTTAAGCAATCCTCTTTTTTTCTAAAGAGAAGGTTGTATTGCTTTTTTGAGTAACTTGATATGTGTTCATGGTTAAAAAAGAAAACAACAGAACAGAACAGAACAATACCAAAAGCGCCCCGTAAGGCACACCCAGCTGCTTGTGTGCAGCGCTTCTTGCCAGCAGGCACCCCAGGAGACGTGGCCCCGCTGACAGTGGCGTGCCGTGGACGTGGCCGGGGCTGTCCCGGGTGGGAAAACTGGTGTTCTTGATTACTGGGATGGCAAATATATTTTTTTTTTGACAGGCAGAGTGGACAGTGAGAGAGAGAGACAGAGAGAAAGGTCTTCCTTTTTCCGTTGGTTCACCCTCCAATGGCTGCTGCAGCCAGCGCACCGCACTGATCCGAAGCCAGAAGCCAGGTGCTTCTCCTGGTCTCCCATGGGGTGCAGGGCCCAAGCACTTGGGCCATCCTCCACTGCACTCCCTGGCCACAACAGAGAGCTGGCCTGGAAGAGGGGCAACCGGGACAGAATCCGGCACCCCGACCGGGACTAGAACCCGGAGTGCTGGCACCGCAGGCAGAGGATTAGCCTAGTGAGCAGGGCACTGGCCTGGGATGGTGAATTTAGGCCTTTGTTCTGCTAATGAGAAAGCCTGGGCCCAGCCTGGGCCATCCTGGCCACTCTGTCGCACCTGTCGCCTTCAGCACTTTGCTGCAAGGATTCAGGTAACTACAGCGTGGTTAGTTTTTCCTCAGTGTAAAGATTAAGTAAATTTATTTTTCCCTCCTTTTTCAGTATTTAAAAGTTATTGATAGGCCGGCGCCCTGCACCTGCATGGGAGACCAGGAGAAGCACCCGGCTCCTGCCTTCGGAACGGCGCAGCGCACCGGCCATAGCAACCATTTGGGGGGTGAACCAATGGAAGGAAGACCTTTCTCTCTGTCTCTCTGTCTCACTGTCTAACTCTGCCTGTCAAAAAAAAGAAAAAAGAGTTATTGATTTATTTGAGACGAACAAACAGAGAGCTCCCATCTGTGGTTCATTCCCAGGTGCCCGCAGCAGCGGGAACTGGGCCCAGACCGAAGCCTGGAGCCAGGAGCTCGATCCAGGCCTCCCCGTGGATGGCAGGGACCCAGACACCTGAGCCATCATTTGCCTCCCAGAACCTGCGCTGGGAGAAAGCTGGAACTGGCAGTGGAGCTGGGACCGAACCCAGGCATTCCAGTACGGGATGCTGGTGTCTTAACTACTAGGCCAGACTCCTGCCTCTTCTTTCTTGAAAAATGAAATGGGCCCACCAGTTCATTTCAGATGATGAAAAGGAGAAATAAGTTTTGAGTCAGCACAGGTTTTTTTTTAAAAGTTCCCTTTCTGCGCAGCGGTTAGTTTCTGTGCACAGCTTGGAGGAAGGAGAGGAGGGTGGTGGTTCTTCCTCCATGTGTCCCTTAGCGCAGCGGCAGCCCGGGAGCTTGCTGGACGTGCGTGCTCTCAGGCCACCCCGGACCTCCTGAGTCAGAACGTGGGAGCCGGGGCAGCCCCCCGGAGCTGTGATGCACGCTGGGCTGTGAGAACCTCTGAGTTAGGAAAGGAAAGACTGACCTCCACATCCCACCTTTTGGTTTTCTTACTTGGGGAAGTTTGACTGAATCTCCACAGCTCACTTTTTTATTTTTATTTTTGTTTATTTCCATTTCATTTGAAAGGCAGAGAGCTCTTCCATCTCCCCAGTGTCCCCAACAGCTGGGACTGGGCCAAACCAAAGCCAGGAGCACAGAACTCAACCTGGGTCTCCCGCATGCATGGGGCGGGGGAGAGGCCCGTGCCCCTGAGCCGTCACCTGCTGCTGCCCAGGGCGTCCCTTAGAGGAAGCTGGATTGCAGCAGAGCCGGGACTCGACGCCCAGCTCCCACCCCTCGCTGCTTTTTGCAGTAGAGGGCTGGGCGACGGCTGTTTCTGCTTCTCTGAGTTAGGTGACTGACCCATGTCCATGGCCTCCCCTGCTGAAGAGATGAGCACTGGCGACTAAGTGAAGCCCACCTGCCAGTGCCCTGCGCGGCCCCAGCTGACCCCGTCCAGGGTGGGTCCTGCTTGTTTCTGTGTTTCCCGTCTGCTGTGTGTGTGTGTGCTGTAAGCATGTGCAGACGTGGTAAAATGCGTGTGTCCTTTTGCAGTGTTTTTCCAACTCTGTCAGTATTTTGAGACATTTAACCACGCTCACACTTGCAGACCTTCTCTGTTCATTTAACTGGGACTCAGTGTGTGGCCCCCTGAGGGAATGAACCATGATGGTGCCCAGTCCTGACCCCTGGGCAGTGAGGCAGTCTCCCCGTGCGTGCGCAGGGGGCGTGCTGGCCTTGCTCGCCGTGCCTACAGACAGGTTCTCCAAGGTGTCTTCATCATAAACAGCTGTTCCCGCAGCTGCTGCACAATGAAGCCGGTTCAACTGAGCTTACCTGGGTGTTATTCTGGGAAGATTCCAAGCTTTGAAATCAGAATTTCCTGGGCTCAGAACCCCATTTTGCTTTGTCTTTGTGATCTCAGTAAAATTACTGAATTTCCTTGAGTCTTAGTGTCCCCGTCTGACGTGTGCAGCAGTGGCCTGGCCACTGCTGGGTGTGAGGTGGCACGGGGCGTGGGTGTTTGACGAGCGTTAGTTCTGTTAGCACAGCACCGAGATGAGGTAAGACCGGACAAGCAAATAAGGGAGGTGTGCTCAGCCGTCCCCAAAACACGATGGCGCTGGATTCAGAGGTGACTGAGTGAGTGCTCTATCATCAGGAAGCAGAGCTGTAAACACAGGCAGATTCGCACTTGAAGAGGCACAGACGTTAGGCAGGGGGGTGTAGGGGAGAACCGCGCTGGGCAGGCTGCACCCCTCACAGTGTCTGCACCTGTCGACTGGGATCTGGGTGGCGGGAACCCTGATGAGGGGCTGGGAGCCGCAGGAAAGTTAACCGTGCTCGTGCTGTGTGGCCAGCCGTTCCGTTCCTAGAGAGGGGACAGAGGGCTCCATGTGGGGGTGTGCATGCGCTTGGGGGCATCCCCGCCCGCATCGGCTGGAGAGCTGGGAGCAGCCTAAATGTCCACCAGCAAGTGAACCATAAGGGACAGGGCAGGTGATGGGACGTGCCGATGCTCTGTGGTTACAGACAGCAGATCAGTGGTGGCTGGGCCAGGGAGGGACTGCAAGGGGCTGGGCAGTGAGGAGCGTGTGCCCTGCTCCTTGTGGTCGTGGTTTCATGGGCGTGTGCGTGTGTCAGGCCCATCAGATGGTCCCTTGGGTTGTACAGTCAGTGGTGTGTCAGCTGCACTCCGGTCAGGCTGTGCACTTTCTAGAGGCCTACGTAGGGGACATGGCTGTGGCCTTCAGCTCTCGGAGCCCCTTCCGCAGTGTTTGCAGCCACTGATCTGCAGCACAGCCCTGACCCTGCACACCTGTGTTGTCCGTGTTTATATTCACAACAGTCATTTGGCAGATGCTTATGAAAAAAAATTAAAAAGATGTGTTTATCTATTTGAGAGGTAGAGTTACAGAGAGGGAGACAGAGATCTTCCTTCCATTAGTTCAAAATGACCACAACAGCTGGGGCTCCGTCTGGGTCTCCCGTGGGTGCAGCGGCCCAAGCACTGGGCCATCCTCTGCTGCTTTCCCAGGGGCCGTAGCAGGGAGCTGGTTGGAAGTGGAGCAGCCGGGACTGGAACTGGTGCTCGAGTGGATGGCAGCATCACAGGCAGTGGCTTGACCTGCCGCGCCACAGCCCCAGCCCGGCAGTGCTGATGGAACGTCTTCAGTGTGCTGGGCCAGCGCTGGGCCAGGTCATGGAAGATTAAAGTTCACCTGTCTTTTTAAGAAAAATTTTGGGGGCCAGCTTCGTGGCACAGTAGGTTAATCCTCCGCCTGGGTGCCAGCAGCCCTATGGGCGCTGGTTCTAGTCCAAGCTGCCCCTCTTCCAATCCAGCTCTCTGCTATGGCCTGGGAAAGCAGTAGAAGATGGCCCAATGCCTTGGGCCCCTGCGCCCACGTGAGAGACCCGGAAGAAGCTCCTGGCTCCTGGCTTCAGATCGGCGCAGCTCCAGCCATTGCGGCCAACTGGGGAGTGAACCAACAGATGGAAGACCTCTCTCTCTGTCTCTCCCTCTCACTGTCTGTCACTCTACCTCACAAATAAATAAATAAATAAATCTTAAAAGAAAAAAAAGAAAAGCAGCTGACATTTAAAAAAAAATTTGATTACTTAATTTTATTTATTATTTGAGAGAGGGAGCGAGAGACAAAGATCTCCACAAATGCTCGGAACAGCCAGGGCAAACACTGGGAGCGAGGAACTCAGTCCACATCTCCCGGGGGTGGCAGGGACTCAGGTGCTTGCGCCATCTCCTGCTGTTCCCGGGGTGCGCGTCGCGTCTGGAAGCTAGGCCCTCTGGTGTGGGATGCACGGACAGCGGGGCCAAAGGCCCGCCCTCCACAGTTGCAAAGGCCCCCAGGCCTTTGGTGTTAACTCTCCATGTTGCCAGTGTTTTGTCTGCTAAGTGTGGCTTGGGAAGGTGACTTGGGAGAGCCAGTAGGTAATGACTGGGACTCTTTCATCCCGGATGTTACTTAACCCGTCGCCAGGGGGCCTGTGCAAGTCAGATGATTTGCCGGAGCTGCGTCTGAGAAGCAGACGGACTTCGGTTGTGCCAGTGCTGGATGTGGTGCCTTGCTGGGTAGAGCCAGGGCGCAGCAGGCTGCTGTCTGCGCTCGTCGCCTGGTTTCCTGCGTGCTGAAGCCTGCTGTCTCCCCAGGACGCCTTCTCGCCCACGAGCAAGCTTCAGCGTTTGCTGGCCGAGTCCCGTCAGATGGTGACCAACCTGGAGCTGAGCACCCTGCTGCCCATCAGCTGCGAGACTCTCAGCCAAGGCGTACGTGTCATCGTCTTTCTCGGCCGTCGCGGGAACCGCGGGCCACGCGCGTGCCGCTGTGCCGGCGTCTCCATGTTTCTTTCATGGTGTGTGTGTGGTGGGGGGAGTGTGCTTGGGGGAGGAAAAAGACTCCAATGTCCCGCATGCAGACCCCTCGCTCTTATTACCGGGGCCAGGTGAGTTCTTAGGGATTTTGAAACAACATTTGGTCGTGGAAAACTTGAAACACACACAGAAGCAGACGGAGCAGGCGGCTCTCGCTCAGCAGCCGCCCCTTTCTGCCATGGTGGCTTTATTTCCCCTGCACGCGCATCTCCTGCGGCGACTGACGCAGACAGGGAGCACCGTGCGAGGACCTCGTGAGCAGCCGCAGTCACCAGGCTGACGGTACAGCCTTCCTGCCAGCTCAGACCAGACTGCGCTGGTCCCCGCTCATCTCAGAAATGTCCTGCCGCGCCACCCAGACCACAGCAGCCAAGGCCCACACCTACCTCAGGAGCCCTCACGCCGCTCCTGTCCCGGCCGCTGGCCCACGAGGCCCTGCCCTACTTCCTGTCTCCTTCCTCCTCACCTCCTCCTCCCTCTCTCTCTCTTCCCCTTCTTCCTCCATCTCCTTTTTTTTTTTTTTTTTTTGGTGTGTGTGTTTTAATGCCATTTATATGTAGAAGAGGCACTGGTCATTCGTCCTGTGGAAGTCTCCACATCCCTGCCTGACCTTGTATTTTTTTTTTTAAGATTTATTTATTTATTTGAAAGTCAGAGTTACACAGAGAGAAGGAGAGGCAGAGAGAGAGAGAAAGAGAGGTCTTCCATCCACTGACTCACTCCCCAGTTGGCCGCAATGGCTGGAGCTACACAGATCCAAAGCCAGGAGCCAGGAGCTTCTTCCAGGTCTCCCACATGGGTGCAGGGACCAAGGCGTTGGGCCATCTTCTACTGCTTTCCCAGGCCATAGCAGAGATCTGGATCAGAAGTGGAGCAGCCGGGACAGGAACTGGCGCCCACATGGGATGCTGGCCCTGCAGGCGGCAGCTTTGCCTGCTACACCACAGCACCAGCCCCAGTGACCTCGTATTTTTAATGTGCTCCCCAGCCCCTGTAATCCCTACGAACTGCTGGTTCCGTCCAGCCCCTTGATGGGACATGGGATGGTTTGGGGTTCCGGGCTCTGCTGGGCCCTGTGTCTCTTGGTGGGTGTGATCGGGAGGCCCCTGGCGGATGTTAGCCCCGGTGGGCGCATTTCGGTCCATCCAGAGCTTCCACTGTGTACGTTTCCCTGAAGTTCACGTAACGACGTTAGTGTTCATTGATGATGATTTTTTTTTTTTTTGACTGGCAGAGTGGACAGTGAGAGAGAGAGAGACAGAGAGAAAGGTCTTCCTTTGCCGTTGGTTCACCCTCCAATGGCCATCACTGCTGGGCGCACCCGGCACACCGCGCTGATCCAATGGCAGGAGCCAGGTGCTTCTCCTGGTCTCCCATGGGGTGCAGGGCCCAAGCACTTGAGCCATCCTCCACTGCACTCCTGGGCTACAGCAGAGAGCTGGCCTGGAAGAGGGGCAACCGGGACAGAATCCGGCGCCCTGACCGGGACTAGAACCCGGTGTGCCGGCACCGCAAGGCGGAGGATTAGCCTAGTGAGCCGCAGCTCCGGCTTCGATGATGATTTCTGAGACCCTTTACTTGATTAGGAACTGCAGCATGGTCATTTGCTACACCTCCCATTCTTACACAGCGTTTCCCCGTTAGCTTCAGCTCCCTCTGGGTTGACAGTGCTCGGCAGCAGTGACGTAAGAGACTTGGATTTTACCGCGTGCATGTCGGCAGTGCAGCGAGCCCTGGGCTGGGAGTCAGGACACTGGCTGCCACCTTCCTGCTCAGAAACAATTCCTTGGAACTAAGACTTGGTGGTTCCAGCTCTTTTCCTGAGCATGCTGTAGATGTAGTCAAAGACATTTGAAAGCCACTGAGTTAAATTTTTTATTTGCCTGACCAACAACCAGAATAGGCAGGAAAAAAAAAAGAAGTCTGCAAGAAGGGCAGGTGCTGTGGTGCAGTGGGTGAGGCTGCCACCTGCAGTGCCGGCATCCCATAGATGCGCCAGTTCAAGTCCTGGCTGCTCCACTTCCGATCCAGCTGCCGGCTACTGTGCCTGGGAAAGCAGTGGAAGATGGCCCAAGTGCTGCACCCTGTACCTACATGAGAGACCTGGATGGAGTCCCAGGCTCTTGGCTTTGGCCTAGCCCATCGCTGGCCATTGCAGCTATTTGGGGAGTGAGCCAGTGGCTAGAGGATCTTTCTCTCTCTCTCTCTCTCTCTCTCACTGCCTTTCAAGTAAATAAATATTAAAGGGGGGGGGGCAAAAAGTCTGCAAGAACACTGAAATACTTTTCTATTGAGGTGAACTTTACTGAAGTATAATACTGAGACATCTCATTACGAATGTCTTTAAAGTTTATGCTGGTATTTAGTGAAGAACTCCTGTGGGTCACACTGGTTCCAGAAGTGTAGACAGATCCGCATGCCCCCGTGTAGCCCGCGTCTCTGTCCTCAGAGGGTGCCTCAGGTTCTGAGAAGTGACTCCCTTACTGCACGCCCCAGACACCACTGGGTCTCATCCCAGGGCAAGTGCTGCCTCCTCTGCACCCTCCGTCAGACGCAGGCCTGCAGCGTGCACACCAGTGCTCCCTCTTTGTCATCTTCACTGCTGCCAGGCTCCCGTGTGTGACTGCTGCACCTGTTACGTGTTCATCTGTGGCTGGCATCTGCGGGTTATATCCAGTTTGGGGCTATAATGAGTAAAATTCCTCTGAACTTCTAAAAAAATTATTAATGTGAAAGGTGAGAGAGAGAAAGAAAGAGATCTTCCATCCACTGGTGCAACATTCAGGTCTGGACCAGCCCGAAGCCAGGAGCCAGAGTCAGGAATTCCATCCATGTCTCCCACATGGGTGGCAGGGACCCAAGCACTTGGGCTGGCTTCCTGTGCCTTCTCAGGCACGTTAGCAGGGAGCTGGATCCAAAGCGGAGCAGCTGGGACTCAGAGTCACTCTAATATGGGGCGCCGGCAGCTGAACCCGCTGCACCACGACGCCCGTCCCTGTGAACATTTTTTGTCTTTCTGTAGACAGACACTTTGATTCCCTCGGAAAGGAGACCTACGAGTAGAATTGTTTGTTAGAGGACTGATTTGTGTTTATGTTTTAAAACTTTATTTATTTATTTTAAAGATTTATTTATTTGTTTATTTGAAAGGCAGAGTTGCAGAGAGAGAGGGAGAGCTTTCCTCCTCTGGTTCCCTCCCCAGATGGCAGGAGCCAGGCCGATCCAAATCCAGGAGCCAGGAACTTCTTCCAGACCTCCCACAGGGGCGCAGAGGCCCAAGGACTTGGGCCATCCTCTACTGCCTTCACAAGCCACAGCAGAGAGCTGGACTGGAGGTGGAGCAGCCAGGACTTGAACCAGTGCTCCGATTTGGAATGCTGGCGTCTCGAGTGGCAGTTTAACCCGGTCTTGAAATAACCTCGTATTTAGAACTCCTTATATGTCTCTTAACCAGATGTTACAGTTTGCATTGTGGAGACCTTGTGCACCTGCCAAGTGTCTTCCTACCGTTTCGTTTATTGATGCCATTATGCATGGTATTTCAATTTCATTGTCAAACTGTTTATTGATGACATAAGTAACTATAGTTGATTTTTGTAAATTACAACTTTATTGAATTCACCTAGTAGATTTTCTAACAATCATAATTTTAAAAAATTATACTTATTTGAAAGGCAGAATGACAGAGAGCAGAGACAGAGACAGAGATCTTCCATCCACCAAATGCCTGCAATAGCCAGGGCTGAGCCAGGCCAAAGCCAGGAGCCTGGACTTCCCAAATGCCTGAGTCCCCCAGGGACGGCAGGCACACCAGCAGGGAGCCGGGTCTGGAGCCAGCGCTCTGACACAGGGTGCCGGCACTGAAGCACTGACTTTCCCTGCTTTGCCACAGCGTCAGCCCCACTCGTATTGCTTTTTAACAAAGACAGTTTTATGATTTTCCAGTGTTTGTTTATCTTTCTTACCTCTCACTCTGGCTGCAGCTCAGGCCGCTGCCGAACGGTTGGTGAGAGCCGGCGCCCGGCCTTAGCCCCGGTGCCTGGTGGCTCTTGCTGTGCATCTCTGCTCTTCACAGGGTGTGCCTAGGTCACCGCCGTGGAGCAGCTGCCACCTGACTCAGTGACCGCAGGCTGGAACGTGAACCATTTTAGAATCAACATGCTCATTACCATGAGCCTTAAAGATTATCTCAGGGGCCGGCATTGTGGCAGAACAGGTTAGGCTGCTTCCTGCGGTGCCGGCATCCCATGTGGGCGCCAGTTCGTGCCCTGGCTGCTCCACTTCCGATCCAACTCCCTGATAAAGGTCTGAGAAGGCAGTGGAAGAAGCCCCAGGCCTAGTGATGGTCATTGCAGCCAACTGGGGAGTGAACCAGTGAATAGAAGATCGATGGATCAATCTCTCTGTCCCCCTCTCCCCATAGCTCTGCCTTTCAAATAAATAAAAAATAAATCTTTATAAAAAAAGATTATCTCAGGGCCAGCACCATGGCACAGTAGGTTAATCCTCTGCCTGCGGCGCCAGCATCGCATGTGGGCGCCGGTTCTAGTCCGAGCTGCCCCTCTTCCAGTCTAGCTCTCTTCTATGGCCTGGGAAAGCAGTAGAAGATGGCCCAAGTGCTTGGGCCCCTACACCCGCTTGGGAGAGTGGGAAGAAGCTCCTGGCTCCTGGCTCTTGGCTTCGGATTGGTGCAGCTCCAGCTGTTGCGGCCATTTTGAGAGTGAACCAGTGGAAGAAAGACCTTTCTCTCTGTCTCTCCTTCTCACTATCTGTAACTCTACCTCTCAAATAAATAAATAAATAAAATCTTAAAAAAAAATATTATCTCAAAGAAGAATAGGCTCTGGGTGGTTCACTGACATCGTAGCCACTGGGTCAAACACCTGCCATACTTCTTTTCTTTTTTACAAATGTCATTTATTTGAGAGGCAGACAGGCGCACAAACAGAGCTCCCGTCTCAGTTCACTCCCCAAATGCCTGCAGCTTGGGGCTGGACCAGGCCAAAGCTGGGAGCCAGGATGCAGTCCTACTTTCCCAGTTACTTGAGTCACCACTGCGGCCTCCCAGAGACTGGGTCAGGAGGAAGCAAGGCAGGGTCCATCTGAAGCTAGGGATCAAATTTAGGTACAGTTACGGGTCAGGGACATCCAAGCCCAGACAAATAGCCAGTCGCCAGGTGCAGACTTATTTTTTATTTATTTATTTTTTAAAAAGATTTATTTATTTGAAAGGCAGCATTACAGAGAGAGAGAGAGAGAGAGAGAGAGAGCTTCCCTCTGCTAGTTCACTCCCCAAATGGCCACAACGGCTGGAGCTGGACTGATCAGGAGCCAGGAGCTTCTTCCAGGTCTCCCACGCGGGTGCAGGGGCCCAAACACCTAAGCCATCTTCCACTGCTTTCCCAGGCCATAGCAGAGAGCTGGATCAGAAGTGGAGCAGCCGGGACTTGAACCAGTGCCCATATAGGATGCTGGCACTGCAGGCGGCGGCTTTACCCACTACGCCACAGCACCAGCCCCTCCAGCTGACAGTTTTAAAAACTGATAGGAGTTCACTAAAGCCAATGTACGGAGTCAGCCTCAGTGTCTGTCATGGAATTATTAATAAGTATTATCATTATTATTAGTAGTAGTAGTGTTAATAAATAAAACGTATTGACACAGGGAGAACTCTTCAGCCTCAAAAAAGAAGGGAATCCTGTCAGTTGTGTCAACACAGATAGACCTGTTAGGCATCATTCGATTGAATGAAGTAAGCCAGAGCAGAAAGACAGCTGGGCCGACCTCACTCATGTGTGGAGTCTAAGGAGGTTGGACGCTCAGAAGCCGAGTCGAGTGTCAGCCCAGAGGCTGAGGTGCCGAGGGACTGGGGCATGCTGCTCAGAGAATGCAGACTCGGGCGAAGCTGCCGCCTGCGGCACTGGCGTCCCATGGGAGCACCAGCTGGGTCCTGGCCGCTCCACTTCCAGTCCAGCCCCCTGCTAACGCGCCGGGGAGAGCAGTAGAAGATGGCCCAAGTGCTTGGGCCCCTGCACCCCCCCGGGAGACCTGGAAGAGCTCCTGGCTCCTGGCATCCTCTGGCCCTGCCCTGGCCGCTGCGGCCATTTGGGGAGCCATCTTCAGCAGATGGAAGACCTCTGCGTCTTCCTCTTTCTCTCTGTGTGATTCTACCTTTGAAAGAAACAAATCTTTTCTACGACAAAAGTGAAGACACTATAAACAGGAATGCAGACTTTGAATTGGACAAGGAGCGCACATTCCAGAGTCTTTTTTTTTTTTCTTTTTTTGACAGGCAGAGTGGACAGTGAGAGAGAGAGACAGAGAGAAAGGTCTTCCTTTTTCCATTGGTTCACCTTCCAATGGCCACTGCGGCTGGCCAGGTGCTTCTCCTGGTCTCCCATGCGGGTGCAGGACCCAAGGACTTGGGCCATCCTCCACTGTACTCCCGGGCCATAGCAGAGAGCTGGACTGGAAGAGGAGCAACTGGGACAGAATCCGGTGCCCCAACTGGGACTAGAACCCGGTGTGCTGGCACCGCAAGGCGGAGGATTAGCCTAATTGAGCCACGGCGCCGGCTACATTCCAGAGTCTTAACCAGCGTGCCAGAGGCCCACCCGTGTGGAGGTACACTCAGTGCCGCTCAAACGTGTGCAAGACTGTGCAGCCGTCACCACCAGCCCCTGCGGAAACCTGAAGCTCCACACCCGCTAGGCAGTGACGTCCCCTCCCCCAGCCTGGCAAGCGTTGTGCTGTCTGTGACCTTGACCGCGACAGTGGAGTCGCCCAGTGTTTGGCTTTCTGTGGCCGCAGACTTCGCTGTCCTCAGGTGCATCCACGCTGTGGGTGGCCCGCGTTCAGCTTGGATTGCCGCCACGCGTCAGCTGCCTGGAGGGGGTGGCCGTGGGCAGATCTGTTGTGGAGAGCCTGTGTGAAGTTACTTTGAGTGTACACCTGGCAGTGCAGTTGTTGGACGGAATGATGTCTTTAAGTGAGTAGAATATCTTGGATTGTAAAGTAGGGGGGCAGGCAGAAGCACTGAGGGGTGCACTTGAACTGTGCTCTTAACCTTGGCCAGAGAGTGTCGCCGTGGGCGGGGCAGGGGAGGCCGCCGAGCAAGCATCCCGAGGTCGCGCACAGATGCGCCAGTGTCCTCCCAGGCCATCGCCAGTGCCGCCTTCCTTTTTCCTCTCCCTCCTGCTTTTCTCCTCCTTTGCGTGTCGTCCTCTCAACCCCCAAAACACCAAGCAAGGCCAACCGAGCACTGCAGGAGGCCCGCACAGAGACTTGTGGGTTCTGACCGACCACTGTCGGCTGCCAGGGCTCCCCACATAGTTTGTGCCAAGGCTGCCGCCAGGCGCAAACTGACTGCCAAAGTCCAGCCTTCACACACGTGATAAAGCGAACAGGGCAGCCCTGCTGCGAGATCAGAGACACAGGAGGCCAGGAATGGGTGGACAGGCGGATGGGTGGACGGATGGATGGGTAGATGATAGATGGATGGATGGATGGGTGGACGGATGGATGGATGGACCCTGCTGAGAGATCAGAGACACAGGAGGCCAGGAATGGGTGGACAGATGGATGGGTGGACAGACGGATGGGTGGACGGATGGATGGGTGGATGGGTGGGTGGACGGATGGGTGGGTGGATGGATGGATGGATGGATGGGTAGATGATAGATGGATGGGTGGACGGATGGATGGATGGATGGGTGGACGGATGGACGGATGGATGGGTAGGTGGGTGGATGGGTGGGTGGGTAGATGATGGATGGGTGGGTAGATGATAGATGGGTGGGTGGGTAGATGAATGGCTGGTGGTTGTAAGGAATTACTTTTTTGTATTCCAGTAACTCCCTACGGTCATTTACAGTGATTCCTGCTGTGTGTGTGTGTCGTCGTCTGAAGTGGGTGTTAATCTGGAGTTGTTTTCTAGAACTTGGACGTCTCGGAAGGGTCGGCTCAGAAACACACCTTCGTGAGTCACTGAAGACAGCGGAGTCACCTTGTGCCTGCGCTGTGCCGTAAGTCCCTCGTGTATCTCGGTGGGTATTTAATGAGTAACTCGGGGACATCGATAATGCAAAGTCAAGGCCATGCGTCTGTTTGCCCTGTAGGCCTGTTTTCTGCTTGGCCCATTGATACTGCACAGACCTGCTCAGCTTAATCTTTTAATCAGAGTGAAATGTCAGGTATCTGGAAGGGAACTGCGGATGAGAAGTTCTTGTTCTCAGCACCTGGGGTTCTAAGTCTAAGGAAGTGAATTACGTAGAGCCCCCTGGGGAAGGCGCAGTCGTCCAGCACCCCCTCCGGAAGTCCGCAGGGCGCAGCCGGGGGCCCGGCAAGCGGTGCCTTGAGTTGCCGCCTCTGTGGGACTCTGGTGTGCACACTTCCTCCAGAATCCCTCTGCAGGTGAAGGGCCCAGTGACGTCGGGCAGAGGGTGAACCCCGACGCCTGTGGGCGTTCAGCCGCGGGGGGCTCGGAGCACGCGGGCCCAGCTTCCTCGGGTTCTGTGTGATGAACTCTGTCTCCGTCCCCAGAGTCGGAGTCGGGTCTGGCGGCCGTGTGGAAGGCAGGGGAGGAGCAGTCAGCAAGGCCCCCGGCCGAGTTGCTTCTCTGAACATCCGTGTCCTGTTTCCGGGTGCAGCGCTGCAGGGGCCACTGAGCGCCAGCTCGGGGTCGCGCTCGGCGGGAACACCTTCCGCGTGCCCGAGGGCCCTGCCGCCCTGCCCTCTCCATCCCTGCCCAGGGTTTGGAGCCGGGGTCGGCGGCTCCCTCGCTCTTACCCAGGCGCAAGCTTACTGGGAGATCAGAGTTCACATGAATATTTTTGTATCATTAAGACTTAGGACACTTGCATTTTAAACTTGTAAAATAATTTTAATTTTGTAAAAGACTATACCGTGAGCCTGTGTGTCCCTTCTGAGAGAACTGAGTAGCTTCAGTCAATAAAAAGTATTTTACTAATAAAACAGTACGTTTCCTGGGTTTCCCTTCGTTATATGGGAGGGGGAAGAACCGAGGAGGGTGCGTTGCTCTAAGCCGAGCCTGGCGCTGCCCCCTGGGAATGGGAGGGGAGGGGGCGCAGTCCCTGGGCCAGAGGGGATTTTCCTGTGAGCAGCCGGCCGCCCCGGGGGCTTTTTACTGAGAGTGCTGAGAAGAGGCTGGGTGGGGTTGAGCTGAGCTCTCCCCTCGCTGCCGTGCACACCAGGCTGAGAAGGGCGTGGAGGACGTGTGCCCGATGGGTGCTACCGTGTCCCTGGGGAGGTGGCTCGGAAGCCACGTGCATTCCCCCTTGCCTGGGCCACGCCAGCCAAGCGGGACAAGGTCGGGCAGCAAAGGGTCGACGGTGATTCAGGGTCGCATCGCACCTGTTCCTGCTGTGACTGGCCCATCTGATCACAGACGGAGCGGTGCGTGTCGGTGCATCCGTCCCAGGGACCTGCCTGAGACGGCAAGGGGCAGCTGGCCCTGCGTTTAAACAGTCACCAGACAAAGCGAGACTTCAGCACGGACATTTTTATTTTATGATCAACCGTTTTTTAGGATGTGTTTATTTGAAAGGCAGAATTACAGCGATAAAAGGAGAGACAGAGAGATCTTCTCTCCGCCGGTTCACCCTTCACATGGCTGCATCGGCCAGAGCTGGGTCAGGCCAAAGCCAGGCGCCTAGAAGTTTCTCCAGGTCTCCCAGGTGGGTGCAGTGGCCCCAGCCCTTGGGGCAGCCTCCGCTGCTTTCCCAGGCGCATTAGCAGGGAGTGGAATTGGTGCCCGCATGGCTTAACCCGCCGCTCCACAGTGCCGGCCCCACGACCCGGAGACGGCTGAGTTGCCTAATTTGCCTGCCCGGAATCATCTGGGCCATCGGGAACGACTGGTGAACAGGTCACGTCAGGATTGGGACCAGAAACAGGGAGAGATGGCGCTCTGAGGGCGCCCGCAGGACACGGCCTGGGGAGGCTGGCGGGTGAGGGGCTCCCTGCGTGGCGGGAAGGCGGCCGGGACTGAGCGTGCCTGCTCCGCTGCTCGGCCCCCGGAGTCCTCTTCTGTGGCCCTGACTCGTGGCTCCTGTGGCCGGCTCCCGTGGCGGGGGGGGGGGGCAGGAGCCCTCTTGTTTTCCTTGGGCCACCTGATGGGGGTCGGTCTCCGTGCGACAGAGGCCAACGCGAATGACACGGGGCCGAGAGGGCAGGTGTGTGGGACCGCGGCCGCCGAGGCCACTCCGGGGCCCTGAGCCGTGGGTCCTGTGGTGACTTCCGGGTTCTCAGCCAGAGCGCGCCGAGGAAGCCCAGGAAAGAATTCTGAGTGAACAGTTGTGCCGTCTGGGCCACCGCTGAGGCAGGAGAGGAAAGCACACGATCCCGCTTCCCTCCAGGTCCTGGGAGACGGGCGAGGGCTAGGAAGCAGGACTTGGATACCAGGACAACAATGACAGGGAAATAGGTCAAGGCGGAGGGTTCAGGGAAGGCCATCTGAACCAAGGTCTGAAAGATAAACAGATGCTAAGTAGGCAGACAAGAGGAGGAGGAGCATTCCAGACCAGTCCAGACCGGTCCTGACAGTGGCAACAGCATGTGCAAAGGCCCTGGGGCAGAAGGCTTGACAGACCTGCCCGGGAGGGAGGCAGGGCCCCTCAGCGAGCCCCCGTGTGTCCCTGGGTTTTCCTTTAAATGAGGTCTAACTTGCTTTGGTTTTGTGAGACCCTGGAGGTCAGGTTAAGATCTGCACACGGCCAAACAGTGCCTCCCGGTGTCAGGCTCTCAGCCCACCAGACAGGGCCAGGAGAGGAACACAGGACGGCAGCGGGAGAGCTTGTGCCCTTGTGTGCCCGGCACCGCCCTGTCCCCAAATAAGCCGCAGGCCAGAGCATGCCGCGGGTCCTTCACACACAGTTTTTAAAAACGTTTCATTTTATCTTGAAAGAGACATCTTCCCTCCACTGGCTCACTCCCCCAGGGCCCGCTGGGCCAGGCCGAAGCCAGGAACTGCAGCCCGGTGTCCCGCAGGAAGTACTCGGGCCACACTAGCAGGAAACTGGATCGGAAGCAGCGGAGCCGGGACTCCGTGGGTGTCCCAGAGGCGGCCTAACCACGGGCCCAGGATGCGGCACAGGGGTGGCTGTGGAGAGCCCCGGCTTTGCCAGCAGCCCCCCGGGCCTGCCGTGGCCATGGCCGCCGTGGGACCAGGCCGGACCCTGAGCCTGCTTCCGGATGCTACGCCCCTGCCCAGCCGGGTGCTGGCCCACTCGGCCCTCGGGTAGCGGCCTCGCGTCTGCATTCGGACACGAAGCCGGGCACAGGAACACGAGGCTGCCGCGTGGCAGCCACACCTGGGAGTGGAAGGAAAAGGGTGCAGCCTGGTCGCGTTTCCAGCTGTTTCCCCTTTTACTGCAGGTTCCGGGTCTGCAGCCCGCAGCCGTGGCCGGCCCACCAGAGCCGCGGTGGCCCAGGTTAACCGGACCCTGGCCTGCTACGCGGGACTCGGCCCGCGGGACGGGACGGAGTGCGGCCGCAAGCGGAGGTCGGACCTGTGTTTCATCTCGGCTTGGGGGGAGATGAGGGTATGGAGGGGCTGAGGGGGTCTTTTGGCCCTTGCCTGCCCTCACCTGGAGAGAGAGGGTGCGGGGCGAGCCGGGAGCCCTGGAGGGGGTGGAGGTGTGCAGGGGGCGGGGCGCGTGGGGAGCCCGGAGGGAGGCGGGGGAACGGAGTGGAGAGGCGGGGCGAGCCGGGAGCCCGGGGCGGAGCGAGCAGGGAGCCCGGGGAGGGGTGGAGGTGTCGGGGGTGGGGGCAGGTGCGGAGGTGGGGGCGGGGCGAGCCGGGAGCGCGGGGCGGGAGGGGGAGGGTGGAGGTGTGCGCGGGGCGGAGCGAGCGGGGCGGGGGCTGGGCTGCGGGGCCCCGCCTGCCGGGAGGGCGGGCGGCCTGGCGGGCGCGGCGGCGGCGGCGGCCGGGGCGCTCGGAGCGGCGGCGGCGGCGGCGGCGGCGGCAGGATGAACAGCATCAAGAGCGTGCCCGCGCGGGTGCTGAGCCGCAGGCCGGGCCACAGCCTGGAGGCCGAGCGCGAGCAGTTCGACAAGACGCAGGCGAGCGCGGGCGGCGGGCCGGGGCGCGGGGCGCCGGGGACGCCGCGCGCAGGTGAACCGGAAGCCGCGCGCCGCCGCCCGGGTCGGGCCTGGGCCGCGGGGCGGTCGAGGCGCTGCGGACCGGGGTGGCACCGGGGCGGGCCGGGGCCCAGGTGCGCGCGGCCCCGCGGCGGGGAAGCCCCGCTTCCTCCCCTCGGAGCCGGCGCCCAGGTCCTCCTGCCGGGAGCCAAGTTGCGCGGCGTGGCCCGAGCGCCGGGCGCGGGGAAGTCGGCTGGGAGCTGGCCCCGCGCGCGGAAACTGCCCCTTGCAGACGCGGGCCGGTCCCGGGTGGGGAGTGGTGGCGCCCGCGCTGCGGCTCTGGCAAACCCGGCGGGGGACCCGCGGCGGCTGGGGGCGGGGGCGCGAGGCGAGCCTCAGTCGGCCGAGGCCGTCGTGGTCTCACCGGAGAGAGACCCCTCCCCGCCGCCCTGGTCTGGAGCGGGTGGGTGACCTGTGCGGGTCCCTCCCGGGTCCGCGCGCGGGGCAGGGACCCGCGCGGCCGCTCTCGCGTCGGGGGAGCGCGCAGCGTGGGGAGCCGGAGACCCGGCGTCTGTCCCCGCGTCCCTGCGGGAGGGGAGCAGAACTTCCCGGCGAGAGGCGGCCTGGGGGGGCCGCGAACTTTGCTTTTGGGGTTTTCCTGGTGCTGCCGAGCCCGGGTTGCTGGTCTCCGGCGGCCGTGCGTCGGGGACGCCGGGACAGGGTCTCGTGCAGGCCCGCGGGCTTTGCTGGACAAGGCGGCGGATTATTGGGGTTGTTTTCCTCGGGTCCCGAGTGCATAAGGAGTCTTTGCCTTGGGTGGGTCAGGGCCGCTTCCTCTGGTGGGGTCCTCAGAGCCGCCGACGGGGGATGTGAGAATGAGGTTTGTACGTGGTTAATATTTAATTAGCTCGTTCCCAGAAATATCTAGCGCGCTGCCAGCGGGGCCCGGCGGCGGCGAAGGCCCGCGAGCTGTGGCTGCTGTTTCTGTGTCTCCCTGGGGACAGAAAATAGCACATCCGGGCCTGGGCGCCTCCCCCGGGTGTGGCCTGTGTGCTGGGCTGTGGGGGCGGCCGGAGGCAGGGGGTCCTGCGCTGGTCAGGCAGGGCAGTCTCAGTCCATGTGGCCCGGTGCCTGTGGTCATGCGCCCCCAACGGCATGGAAGTGGCCGCGTGGCAGCATCCAGAGTGCACCTGCGCGCGGGCAGGCTGGACACTGTTTGCCAGGACACTGTGCAAGGACCTGTGGCCCAGAGTCGGCTGCTGCTTCCGTTCTGCACGGACTTTTTACTTTGCATGTCTATTTGAAGGGGAGAGGATCGTCGCTGGTTCAGGTCCCAGCTGCTGAGGTCAGGAGCCGGGAGCTGCATCCGGGTCTCCCACATGGATGGCAGGGACCCAAGCTCTTGAGCCACCACCTCAGGGTGCCTGTGAGCAGGAAGCGGGATCAGAGTGGAGTGCTGGGCCTTGACCCAGGCACCCTGACCCCCCGGGCCGCACGCCTGCTCCGCCACGAACCCCCCCATTCCGAACTGAAGACTCTGCCATTCCACAGGTGGCGTGGGTTCGAGGGAGGCGGTGCAGGCGGGTGGCCCCCGGCCAGTTGCTCAGCCCCTGAATCCGCTGCTCTCCTGGCTGGGGTGTAAGAGAGGTGCTGGGCGGCGGGCTGAGAGACGGCCCCGCGTTCCCTGGGTGGGCTGCAGGTGCGTGAGCTGGGCAGGACCCTGGCTGCAGGCGGGCCAGGGGTCATCGCGGGGTCGTAGAGCGTGGGCGAGTAGGAGTGAGGCAGCGAGCAGAAGACCCCTCATCTCTGGGCCTCAGTATCCCCCGCAGGAGGTGGAGCGAGCCCAGAAGCTTCCTGAGGTGGGGGGGGGGGGGTGGGCAAGAGAAAGCCCTTGTATCACAGCGCGGGGGCCGCTGCCCCGCCAGTGAGTGAGCATCACATCCAGGTGGAAACGGCCAGGGTGTGCGGGCCCCGCGCCGGACAGCGGCTCTCGGCCCAGCTGCAGGTCAGCGTGACGTCCGGCAGCCCCGTGCGACCGAAATCCTGTAAACACCAACATTTCCTGACAACTTGGAACTTATTTTCTTTTTGATATTTATTTTATTTATATGAAAAGCAGAATTACAAAGAGGGAGAGGCAGATCCTCCATCCGCTGGTTCACTCCCCAAGTGGCTGCAGCAGCCGGGGCTGAGCCAGGGTGAAGCTGGGAGCCTGGAATCTCATCCAGGGCTCCCACATGGGTGCAGGGGCCCAGCATCTCGGCCGTCTTCCGATGCTTTCCCAGGCGCATTAGCAGGGAGCTGGATCGGAAGTGGAGCGGCTGGGACCAGAACCAGCACCCATATAGGATGATGGCATTGCAGGAGGTGGCTAAACCTGCTCTGCCACAGCGCCGCCCCGACAGCTCAGGACTTCCCAGCCCCAGCTGCAGGCCGCCCGGCCTGTCCCGTGGGAAGGGAAGAAGGGCTCAGGTGTGCTTTGAGATTGGCCGGCTGGCTCGGCGGCAGCAGGTGAGGTTATTTCAGGCGTGCCCTTGGCGAATCCCACACAAGTCCCGCTGTCTGCTCTGAGCTCAGCCCTCAGCTTACTGGCCGTTTGGACTCACTGCCATCCCACCGCTCGGCGCTGTTGGTTGGCACAGCGACAGGGTTAGAATCAGGGGTAGGGACCCTGAGGAATGGCAGTGGCGTCTGTGGGCTTGGGGGGGAGGCCAGCAGCGGGGCCTGGGTCCGAGGTGCGGGACACTGGGGTGTTTAAAAAAGTCCCTCAGCCAGGTGGTGTTTAGAATCTCTTAGTAAAAATGGGGGCAGGCGTTTGGCCCACGTGACACCTGCGGCCCACTCGGAGTTCCTGGTTCAGTTCCCACCTCCGGCGCCTGTCTCTCTGGTGGCTCCGGTAGTTGGATTCCTGCCATCCATGTGGGAGACCCGGATTGAGTTTCCGGCTTTGGCTCGGCCCAGCCCCCGCCGTCGGCATCTGGGGAGTGAAGCGGCAGAGCTCTGTCTCTGTCCTGGAGTGAACGGATGAATGAGTGAATGAATTATGCAGGTGCCTGGGAAGCGGCCCGAGTCCGCCGTTCGCCAGTGTGCAGCTTCTTTGACGCTGGTATTTTTTGCACCTGCCAGTCCCGTGCCCGCACCCCGTCTGCCCTCACTGGCCCCCAGGGCTGTCCTCTGACCCCAGCCCTCGCCTCTTCCCTCCGACTCCTGACTGCACGGGCAGGGTTGGGTCACCAGTCCTCTCAGAGCCTCATGCAAATCATGCAATTTTCCAAAGCGGGTTCACTGGCCCTGGAGTTTTGGAAGAAACAAGCCACGTGGTGGGCAGCCGGGACCCCTCAGCCTATCCCTTGCTGTCAGGGGCTGCCCAGGCGCCCCTGGAGGGCAGAAGCACCCCAACATGCACACAGGTGCCTGGGGTGCCGCCGAGTGGTGCACAGAGGCAGGAGAGGAGCCAGGCCCCAGCTGCCCCAGCCACCCCGGGAGCGGATGGCAGGTCGCGGTCGCGGTCACGGTTGGGGTGAGCTGAGCCTTTCCGGGTGGCTCCCTGTGAGGCTCCGCCCCTCCCCTTACAGCAGGTGGTTTCCTGGCACTTCCTGGCAGAGCCGTTTCCGAGGTGACTTGGTCCAGGCTGTGCTTGGGACAGCTGCCGTCCTGGACGCCACGTCCCGTCATTGGAGTGCACTGGCCGGGGTGTCCCTCACCGCCGTCTGCCTCTGCAGGGCGGCCGAGGGTCTGGGGTGCAGCCGACGCCCTGTGTTGTGCACAGGGAGGTGAAGGGAGCTGAGAGAAGGGGTGTGGTGTCCTGCTGGGCTCTGCCGCCGGTGGTGGCTGTGGCAGGACCAGTGACAGCCTGTCCCTGGGGAAATGAGCCACAGGCCACCACCTTCCAGATACCTCCAGGGCGGACCCAGCGTCCAGTGAGCGCGATGCAGGGGGCGTGAGGTGGAGCCAGCCCAGGACGTCCCCCTCCTGATTGGGGGTGGGGTGTGCGTGGCCGGCTGCTGCTTGTGAATGAAACTCAGCCGCCCACGGCAGAGCCTGGTCTGCACCTGCTCTCCCAGGAAGTGGGAGGCCCGCCTGCCAACCGGAGACGCTGGGCGCGCTGGCCAGCCGGGCCGCCCTGCCCCCTCTCCTGGGTGCTGCCGGTTCAGGGCCGACTCGAATGGCAACTTGGAGGCGCCAGCACCTTCCTCCTCCCGCACCGCCCGCACCGCCCTGTCTGCCACACCCCGAGATCCCGAGTGGGCCCCAGGTTTCCCCTTCAGGGAATGCTGAACCCTGGGCCAGGAGGTGAATTCAGACAAGGTTGTTACTTCTCTCGCAGAAGCAAACACACGGCTCAAGCTGCGGGTTTGTCTGCCTGGGAGTGACTCAGCCCCCTGGCTCCTGGGACAGACAGGTTTCTGGTGATGTCACGGGATCAGGGACCGAAACCTCCCAGGCTGGGGGTGGAGACGCGACCTGGGCCTGAGCCCTCCTGCTTCCAGCTTCGCCCACTGAGTCTGGGGCAGGGGTGGAGGTGTGTGGGGGGGCTGCAGCTCTCCCCCAGGCTCTCTCCAACCCCCCCCCCCCCCCCCGCCGCCGGCTCTCGCCGCCTCCCGCGGCGCACCGAGCGGTCGGGCAGGAGCTGACTTCCTGGCGGCTGCAGTGGCCGCACCCCGGCGCCTTGGCCACAGGCATCCTGTGTTTGCCTGCATCAATGGCCTTTGAGGGGCGCAGGCGCTTGAATGAGGCCTCTCTGTCCTTTAGACCACTCTGGAGCGCCAGCGCCAAGCACCAGCCTGGCGGCCGGGCTGCTTTTAAAAATAGAAGTTCTCATATAGTTACTTTCACTTTGTACCTCCAGCGAAGATCCTGAGACGCCTGGGAGGCAGCTTTCGCTCATTCTCGCGTTCGCTCTTGCGTCTCCAGTGAAGTCGGGCGGGCTGGTGGCATGGGCTGGCGTGGCCCTGGGTCAGCAGGGAGCGGCCCCGGGACCCCTGCTGGTGCGGCAGTGGCTGGGGCGTGTGCAGGCCCCAGGAGCAGGAGCAGGGCCCTGGCACGTGGTCGGCTCCGTGAAAATGACTTCGCTGCTGGGTCTTGAGGCCGGGTGTCCTGGGCCTGGCTGTGCCTCCCCACCTCTGCCCTTGAGAAGGTCAGGCTCCGCCTGCTCCGGGCCCAGTCTGGGACGAGAGGGGCTTGGGGACTGTCCCAGTACCGCGGGGTCCGTGCGCCTCGCTGCCTCTGCCCCCCACCCTGCTGTTTCTGGCTGGTGGCTGACACAGAACACCCCATTGTTGCTCTCCACGTCCCTGGCCCAGAGGGGCTGCTCCTGCCTCAGCAGTGGGGAGAGCCACCCCCCTCCCTGGTGTCCTCGTCCCCGGCCGTCACGGGGAGGTGTGGGAACTGTCCTTCCAGGCCTGGGTGGCCACCCACCCTTGGAAGCTTCCTTCTCCAGCGCTGGGTCTTCTCCCGATCTCAGGGTCACGGTCATTCCCTTGTGCTCCCTGGTGGACTTTCTGTCCTCGGCCTGACCCCGCCAGCCCTGGTCCCCACCCACCACCCCAGCGCTGGGCCTGGGCCTCCCTCCAGCTCCGGCCTCCTGGTGCTGGGTTGGGGGTATCTCTGACAGATGGACCCCCCAAGACTTTAACCACAGGCCAAAGCTGGGTTAAAACCTCTGGCCGAGACCCCCCGGGAGCCACTTTCCCGAGGGCAGCCCCATGGGACAGCATGGGCAGGGGAGGCGTCACTGGGCAGGGCACCCACAGGCCCCCGCTGTGTGAGCACTGGGCCTCCTTGTGTGGCCCCGTGCCTGCCCCACACATCTGCCCGCCTGCACACAACGGGGCAGTGTTCCGGGAGCCCGCCCGCAGCCACGGTGCTGTCCTCGGGAGCCAGCAGCGGGCCACAGCCGCCGGGGCCTGGTGCGGACAGGCCGTGCTGCCCGAGGCCTTCCCTGCGCCAGGCCAGTTATGGCAGGGCTGGTGCCGACCCCCCATGGTGGGCAGAGTGGGGGTGAGTGAGGAGCAGGTGTGAGCAGGGGGACAGGGCCCTGGGGACCACAGACCACGGGCAAACAGGCTCCGCGCCTGTCTGCAGTAGGATGAGGCCCCCTTGGCCTCCCACCAGCCCTGCCACCTCCGCATTGGTGTTCGGGTCTGGGCTGGGTGCCCCACCTCCGCCAGAACAGGTGGCAGGGGTTACATCCCCGAGGGGTGCGCCCCGGTGCTAGGGGGGGGGCAGGCTGGAAGAGGACAGACCAGGGTCTGCTCGCTGCTGGGGTGAGAGGCCCTGGCTCCTTCGTGGACGCAGGCAGTCCTAGCCACGCCCCAGGACTGCCACCAGAACCCCCGTGAGCGCTTGGTAAAGGCGGTCATCGGTCAGCCACCACTGCCGTGGACAGCGTCCCTCCCGGCCCCGTCAGCATCCATTGCAGCTGCCCGGTGGGCACCCGGACGCACCGAGGCCCGGGGTGTAGGCTCGGCAGACGAGCAGGTGGCAAGAGCTGGTGGCCGGCCCCTGGAGGCCTTGACGAGAGAGGCCAGGGCCGCCCCAGGTCCCCGCATCCCAATGAGCTGCCACAATGGGCCCAGTGTGTGAAAGGGGGTCAGCCCAGCCCCCAGCGCGGGCCGCGGGCCTGCCGGGGAGGAGCTGCACGGCCCTGCGGGGACAGGGTTTGGGGGGAGGCCGCCGGTGTGTGGGATGGGGTGGGGGCCCCTCCAGGGAGCCTCTGGGCAGTGCTGAGCTGGGGGAGGAGACTCCGTGGGTGGAGGGCGGGGTTGACGTTCCGGCCACGGTCACGGCTGAGGTGGCAGCTTGCTCACGGCGTGGCAGGGCTCTGCTCCCAGGGGGCCACCGGCACCTTCCTCTTGGAGGGGGTGGGGGTGGAGCGAGTCAGGACGTGGCCTACCCAGGGCAGGCAGGCCAGGGGGCTGGGTGGGGAAGGGGATGGCGTGTCCCTTGGGTCAGGCCGGCTGAAGGCCCAGCCCAGACTGCTCCTCCCGGGAACAGGGCAGGGGCCCCAGATGCGGCGGGGGGGGGGGGGGGGGATGAGCTTGGCCGCCCTTCCCTGGGCTCCGGGGGACCTCGGCCTCCAGGAGAGCCACGTGGCACGGGCTCAGACCGGCAGTCCGGAGCACCTGCCCCGAGTGGGTCTTGGTCACCCAGGGCCCCGGCCCTCGGGGGCTGCGTGGCCTTGGCCGTGCGCGGCGTGTGGGAGCTCTCCAGGTGTGGTTTGCTGGCGGCTCCCAGCGCTATGTGGGCCGCCCTGGCCTGCGTGGGGCCCTGAACGCGCCTCCATCACCTCACAGGCCATCAGCATCAGCAAAGCCATCAACAACCAGGAGGCGCCCGTGAAGGAGAAGCACGCGCGCCGTATCCTTGCCCTCGTGGGAGCAGCGCGGGCAGCGGGGCCGGCCGTGCCCTCAGGGCCAGCGCTGCCCCCACCCCCACCCCCAGGCTGCGCCTCGTGACCTCGCCCTCCTCCCTGTGTCCCTCGCGTGACGCAGCCGCTGCCCTCCCCGTGTGTTCCCCGCCCCGCGTGTTCCCGGCCCTGGGCGCGGGTCTCTGTGCGTGCACTTGGCCTTGACCCCGGAGGCATCATTCTCGGCACCCACCACGAGAAGGGGGCCTTCACCTTCTGGTCCTACGCCATCGGCCTGCCGCTGCCCAGCAGCCCCGTCCTCAGCTGGAAGTTCTGCCACGTGCTGCACAAGGTCCTCCGCGACGGGCACCCCAATGTGAGTGGTGCGGCCGCCGCTGCCCGTCCTCGGGGCTGCCACCCTCAGACCCCACCCCTGCCCGCCCTCGGGGCTGCGACCCAGACCCCGCCCCTCGGCCCACCTCCAGGCGGGGCTGCGACCCTCAGACCCCGCCCCTCGGCCCACCCTCCAGGCGGGGCTGCGACCCTCAGACCCCGCCCCTCGGCCCACCCTCCAGGCGGGGCTGCAAACCTCAGACCCCGCTCCTCAGCCCACCCTCCAGGCAGGGCTGACTCAAGCCATGCCCCCTGCCCGCCCCTCGGCCCATCTCCAGGCGGGGCTGCCTCACAGACCCCGCCCCCTGCCCGCCCCTTGGCCCACCTCCAGGCGGGGCTGCGACCCTCAGACCCCGCCCCCTGCCCGCCCTTGGGGCGTGACCCTCAGACCCCGCCCCCTGCCCGCCCTTGGGGCTTACTCTAAGACCCCGCCCCTCGGCCCACCTCCAGGCGGGGCTGCGACTCAGACCCCGCCCCTCGGCCTACCCTCCAGGCGGGGCTGTGACTCAGACCCCGCCCCTGCCTGCCCCCCTCGGCCCACCTCCAGGCGGGGCTGTGACTCAGACCCCACCCCCTGCCCGCCTCTCGGGCCCACCTCCAGAATGTGAGTGGGTGCAGCCCAGTCCCTTCTCCACGCCCCTTGGGCCCACCTCCAGGTGGGGGTGTGACTCAGACCCCTCCCTGCCCCCGCAGGTGCTGCACGACTGCCAGCGGTACCGGAGCAACATCCGGGAGATCGGAGACCTGTGGGTAGGCGCAGGGCCTGGGCGAGGGGCCTCCACGCCTGCCTGGGCCCAGGGCCCGCGTGGCCACAGGCTCAGTGGTTTCCCTTCTGTCCCCTCTGTGGTTCGTAGTGGTCACAGCGGTGGGGACGAGCACCTGTCTCTGTACGCAGAGTAAAGGAGACCCCGGGCCCGGGGGACCCAGAGTGGCCGGCAGAGCCCACGGGAGGGTGTGCACGCCGGGCAGGGCCAGGGATGGAGGTGTCCCTGGGGGCCTGCGAGTCAGAGGCCCCTGCCTGTCAGAGGTGGCCCCTGGAACAGACTGGGGGAGACGCCCAGCAGGGTTGTCGTCGGCCCCCAGCGCTGGGTCAGCGTCCCCGTAGGCCTGGCCCTCGTCCTGGACAGAGCCCCCCTTCCCACCAGAGTCTGATTGGCAGGAGTGACGAGGCACGGCCGGAGGCAGGGCTTGGCGGAGGCCGGCGGGAATCCGCTCCCCTCACGCCTGCCGGGAGGACCCTGACCCGGCTCTTCCCGCAGGGGCACCTGCACGACCGGTACGGGCAGCTGGTCAGCCTCTACACCAAGCTGCTGCTGGCCAAGATCTCCTTCCACCTCAAGGTACCTTCCCGGGGCCCCGGCTCGTCTGGGGAGCAGAGCATGGCGGGTCTGCCCCACGGCCAGGACTTCATGACACCCCCATACCCCGGGTGTCTCCCGCGGGCGGAGGGACCAGCCCTGCCCCGGCTCTGGTGGTCCCTCCCCCTACTGCACCCGGCTCTCACGAGCCAATGGGGCTGCGCGGGGCGGGGGCTTCTCTGGCATCGGCCCCCTCTCTGGAGCTGGGCCTGGACCGGGCCGGGGCGTGGGTCAGCGAGGAGCGGGGCCTGGCACGTGGGCCGCCACTGAGGGGCGCCCTCCGCAGCACCCCCAGTTTCCTGCGGGTCTGGAGGTGACAGACGAGGTGTTGGAGAAGGCGGCAGGCAGCGACGTCAACAACATGTGAGTGCCCTGGGCGAGGCCGCGGGCGCGGGGTTCCTCCGGGCTCTCAGGGTCCCTCCGGGCTCGCGGGGGTCCCTGCCGCATTTTCATGCGGGCCCTCGCCCTCTGCAGCTTCCAGCTGACCGTGGAGATGTTTGATTACATGGACTGTGAGCTGAAGCTTTCCGAGTCAGGTGAGCCGTCGGCTGGGGGGGGGGGGGCGATGATGCAGCGGTGAGAAGCCGCACCTGCCCCTCCCAGGCGCCCCCACGGCGCCTGCCCCCGGCCTGGGGCGGTCTTGGCAGGGAGCGTGGGCCTGACGGCAGGAGCTGCCGCCTCGGGCTCCGGCCCTGGCCTCCCGGGAGACTTGCTTTGGGTGGCGCCCACATTCTGCCCCGAGAAGCCCGCGTCCTCTCCGGCTGCAGCCCTAGGACCCGGCCCTGCTGGACAGGAAGTGTGGGGGTGGGGGCATGGCAGGCAACTTGCCCGGTGCAGCAGGAGAGGCGTGGCTGCCTTTTTTTTGGGAAACTCAGGAGGTAGAAAGAGGCCGGCAGGGCAGCTGCCCAGCACCCCGAGTGTGGCCGAGCCCAGGGTGCTGCTGGCTCGGGTGGCCGAGAGGGCAGCTGGGGGCCAGATACCGAGTGGACCCCGAGCCAGAGCTGCAGGCCGGTGTTCAGGGTGTGGCCCCCAGGGGCTGTCCAGGCAGAGATGTGCAGTATCAGAGGCCACCAGCAGGGGGCCACATGCCTGGTGTTCCCTCCCTGCGCTGCTCTTGGCGTGGGAGATCCCACAGCCCCCCACTGTGCTGACGCTGCCGGCTGGTGAAGCCTAAGGAAGGGACCCCCGGTGGTGCCGGGAGACTCCCAGGTGCAGGGCCTTCCTTGCCCCACAGCGAGGTCTGTGGTCACGGAAGACGGGGACAGCGGAAGGCACTGGGCCCAGGGGGCTGTGCCCAACACGCAGCCCTCCAGGGGGAGCGACCGCTCACTGCCTGCCAGGGCGGGGGCGGCCTCACACCTGCCCCGCACTCTGACACGAGACCTGGCTGTCAGGGTGCCCCGGGAGCAAGTGAGGTTTCGGGGTCACTTGGGTCCTGACCCCACTGCCAGGCCGCTGAGCCCACCCGGCTGTCTCTCCACGTGGGGCAAACAAGGCGTCCCGGTGACTCCATCCATCCCCCTCGTCCCCGGCCCACGGTGGTGGAGGCTTCCGGAAACCCTCGCTGAGCCAAGTCAGGGCCCGGCCCTGCTGCTGCCCTGCTCTGCGCGGGAGCGGCTGGAGCGGCCAGCTGGGCGGCCTCCCCGCCCTGCCCTCCTCCCGGGGCGGCCCCCGCGTCTCCCGGCCAGCGCGCCCTCCGGCCGGGTCTCCGGCCAACGCCAGCTGCTCACGCGCGCCCTCGCCTGCCCCTCTGCAGTTTTCCGGCAGCTGAACACGGCCATCGCGGTGTCGCAGATGTCCTCGGGCCAGTGCCGCCTGGCCCCGCTCATCCAGGTCATCCAGGACTGCAGCCACCTCTACCACTACACGGTCAAACTCCTGTTCCAGCTGCACTCCTGTGAGCGCCCTCGGCTCGGGTTGATGCCCCCACAGGGAGCCGCGCGTGGCGTTAACATGGGCAGGCGGCCTTTGGGGACCAGGAAGGATGCAGTAGAAGAGGCTCAGCTGGGTGGTTCCCGAGCCACCCGCCACGTCTCCCGGCCCCCAGGCAGGGCAGGGCAGGCGCGTGTGCTCCGTGCTGGGCGGACAAGGCCGGGTGGGCGGGCGGCCCTAGGCCGGGTGGGCATCTCCCCTTCTGGTCAGGGTCCTCGCTCAGAAAGTCAGGCCCACCCCCCTCCCAGGGTGTCTGCTCCCTTTGCTGGTGGTGCGGGGCTGGCCACGGGGGTCTCCCATCTGCTGGTTCTGGAACAGGAGGGGTGGGGGGCCCGGCCTCACGGGGGTCCCGTTTAAACCGTGTGCTCCCCAGGCCTCCCCGCGGACACGCTGCAGGGCCACCGGGACCGGTTCCACGAGCAGTTCCACAGGTAGCGCCCCTGGCGGGCCTGGGCAGGGCCAGGCAGGGCCGGAAGAGGCCCCGCAGCCCCCTGACGCCGCCCTGCCGCCCCCTGCCCCCCGCAGCCTCAGGAACTTCTTCCGCAGAGCCTCGGACATGCTCTACTTCAAGCGGCTCATCCAGATCCCGCGGCTGCCCGAGGTACCCGCGCCCCTGCCCCAGGCCGCCCGCCGGCTGCGCCCAGGGCTTCCTCCCGGAGTGGCTGAGCGGCTGCCCCCACAGGGACCCCCCAACTTCCTGCGGGCCTCGGCCCTGGCCGAGCACATCAAGCCCGTGGTCGTGATCCCCGAGGAGGCCCCGGAGGACGAGGAGCCGGAGAACCTGATCGAGATCAGCACGGGGCCCCCCGCCGCAGAGCCGGTGGTGAGCTGCCCTCCCGTGTCCCCGCCGGGTCCCCGCTGGGTCCCCGCCGGGCCGGGCGCGGGCGGAGGGGTGAAGGCCGTGCTTTGCCGTGGCAGGTGGTGGCCGACCTCTTCGGCCCGACGTTCGGACCCCCCAATGGCTCCCTGAAGGACGACAGGTGAGGCCTGGGGTGGGCTGTGGTCACCCTGGAGGGGGCGTGAACGAGGGCGGGGCCTGAGCGCCCGCCCACGTCCGCAGGGACCTGCAGATCGAGAGCTTGAAGAGAGAGGTGGAGGCGCTGCGCTCGGAGCTGGAGAAGATGAAGCTGGAGGTGAGGTCCCGGCGGCGGCGGGCGGGGGCCGGGGCGGCCGGAGCCCCAGGGCGGCCGGCCCCACGCTGCCGCTCCCGCCCCGCAGGCCCAGCGGTACGTGGCGCAGCTCAAGGGCCAGGTGAACGCGCTCGAGGCCGAGCTGGAGGAGCAGCGCAAGCAGAAGCAGAAGGCCCTGGTGGACAACGAGCAGCTCCGCCACGAGCTGGCCCAGCTGCGGGCCGCGCAGCAGGAGGCCGAGCGCAGCCAGGGCCTGCGGGAGGAGGCCGAGAGTGCGTGCGGGGGCGTGGGGGCGTGGGGGCCCGGCAACCGCCCGGCGCCCCCGCCTCCCGGGTGACGCGGCCCCTGTCGCCCAGGGAAGGCCAGTGCCACGGAGCTGCGCTACCAGAAGCTGAAGGAGAAACACAGCGCGCTCATCAACACGCACGCCGAGCTGCTGCGGAAGGTAGAGCCGCCCCCGGCCCCTGCACAGGGCGGGCAGGGCCTGCGCCCCCCACCCCCACCCGCCCCCGCTGCACCGGGCAGGCAGGGCCTGCGCCCCCCACCGCCCCAGCTGCACAGGGGACAGGGCCTGAGTCCTGGACCCTACACTCCACTCCCACTCCCACTGGCCTTGCTGCATGGGGCAGGCACGGCCTGAGGTCCCCCCATCCCCGCCGGCCTCGCTGCACAGGGGGCAGGGCCTGCGCCCCCCACCCCACCCCTCATCCCCGCAGAACGCGGACACAGCCAAGCAGCTGACGGTGACGCAGCAGAGCCAGGAGGAGGTGGCGCGGGTGAAGGAGCAGCTGGCCTTCCAGGTGGAGCAGGTTAGGCGGGAGTCGGAGATGAAGGTGCGTGCCATGCCGCCCCCTGCGCCCCCCCCACCGCCTCGCCCCGCCCCCTGCCCCGCCCCCTGCCCCCGCTGACTCGCTGCCCTGTCCCAGCTGGAGGAGCAGAGCGACCAGGTGGAGCAGCTCCAGCGGGAGCTGCAGGCCAAGACCAGGGAGCTGCGGCACGTGCAGGAGGCCCTGAGCCGCACGGAGCAGGTGCGGGGGGGGGGGGGGCCGGGCGGCCTGGAGGCCCGGGGGGTGGTGTGGCACGTGCAGGAGGCCCTGAGCCGCACGGGCAGGTGCGGGGGGGGGGCCCGGGCGGCCTGGATGCGGGGGGGGGGGGTCCCAGGTGCGGCCTGCTCAGGTGCCTGGTGTTCGCAGAGCGGGTCCGAGCTGAGCTCGCGGCTGGACGCCCTGAGCGCAGAGAAGGACGCCTTGAGCGGGGCCGTGCGGCAGCGGGAAGCCGACCTCCTGGCAGCGCAGAGCCTGGCGCGGGACCAGGAGGCGGCGCTGAGCCAGGAGCGGCAGCGCAGCTCCCAGGAGAAGCAGGAGCTGCAGGGGCGGCTGGCGGAGAAGGTAGGAGCGCCCGCAGGTGCAGGGCGCACATCCCCCCGCCCGCACAGGGTCCCTAGTGCATGTCCCTGCTGGCTTGTGGGCTTTCCATGTTCATCACCCATGTGTGTGCCCTGGGGAAAACATTTGGAGCCTTCGGCTTTCTTTAAGACTTTATTTGAAAGAAAGAAATCTATCCGCTGGTTCAGTCCCCAAATGGCTGGGGCTGGGCCAGGCTGAAGCCAGGAGCTTCTTCCGGGTCTCGCATGTGGGGGCAGGGGCCGTCTTCTGCTGCTTTCCCAGGAGCAGTAGCAGGGGGCCGCATCGGAAGTGGAGCAGCCGGGACTCAAACCTGTGCCCACAGGAGATGCCGGCCCTGCAGGCACCACAGTGTCTTTACTTGGGGTTTTATTGAGTTGTCCAGCCCCCTACTGCCTCTAAGCTCCCCCCTCTTCCCCCAGGAGTCACAGGAGCAGGGGCTGCAGCAGCAGCTGCTGGACCAGCAGTTTGCGGTGCTGCGTGGTGCCGCCGCCGAGGCCGAGTGCGTCCTGCAGGACGCGGTGAGCAAGCTGGACGACCCCCTGCACCTGCGCTGCACCAGCTCCCCGGGTAGGTGCTCGGCCGCCCCGCGCCCAGCCCGGCTGCAGGCCGCACAGTGCTGCGGCCTCACCCCCTCCCCCTCCCTGTGCCCGCAGACTACCTGGTGAGCAGGGCCCAGGCGGCCCTGGACACTGTGAGCGCCCTGGAGCAGGGCCACGCCCAGTACCTGACGTCCCCGGCGGGTGAGTGCAGCGGCCCCCACCTCTCCCCAGGACCCAGCCCTGTGCGCACGCGGTCCCCTCCCTCTCGGCTCAGGGGCCCCTCCCTGTCCCCCCCCAGACGCCTCCTCCCTGGTGGCCGCCCTGGCCCGCTTCTCCCACCTGGCTGCAGACACCATCATCAACGGCGGTGCCACCTCCCACCTGGCCCCCACCGACCCTGCTGACCGTAAGTGGGTCCCTGGCACCAGGCCTCGGCTCCCACCGGGGGCCCTCCCAAGGGACCTGGGGCTTTGGGGTTCACGGGTGTCTGCCCCCAGGCCTGATTGACAGCTGTCGCGAGTGTGGGGCCCTGGCGCTGGAGCTCACGCAGAAGCTACAGGACCGGCAGGGAGTGGCCGGGGCGCAGCCCGGCCTGGTGCGGGACCCCCTGCAGGGCATCCTTCAGCTGGGCCAGGTGAGCCGGGCGGGGTCGGTGGCCTCTGCCTGTGGCTCCGCCCCCTGCCCACACTGCCTCGGGTTGAAGGGGTGAGTCCACCTGCCTGACTCCCGTGCTCCCAGGAGCTGCAGCCCAAGAGCCTGGACGTGCGGCAGGAGGAGCTCGGTGCCATGGTGGACAAGGAGATGGCGGCCACGTCCGCGGCCATCGACGATGCTGTCCGGAGGATGGAGGTCAGGACCCAGGCAGGGACCCGCCCCCTTCCTGCAGTGGCTCGGGGGCTGTGCGTGCAGCTTACGTTCCAGGGCCGCCCCTCCCAGCTCGGGCTCTTTGTGCACAGGACATGATGAACCAGGCTCGCCACGCAAGCTCGGGGGTGAAGCTGGAGGTGAACGAGAGGTGAGCGCCTTCTGCAGCCCAAGATGGGGTCCCCGCAGAACCCCCAGGTCAGGGGTCGGCCCGCCTACTGCTGCTCCCGAAAGGCAGGCTCAGGGGTGAGCAGGGCCCACGCCCCCCGCTGTGCCAGGCCGAGCCCACACCCCCTGCCCTGGTGCCTGGGGCTAGGCCGAGCCCACGGTCTCCTCCTCTCACCTCCCTGTGCTCCCCCCACCCAGGATCCTCAGCTCCTGCACAGAACTGATGAAGGTGAGTGGGCAGCCGGGGCTCGGGGCGGCCTCCGGCCCGCAAAGGCTGCCCTGAGTCACGGCTGGGTCTCGGCAGGCCATCCGGCTCCTGGTGATCACCTCCACCAGCCTGCAGAAGGAAATCGTCGAGAGCGGCAGGGTGAGTTGGGTGGGCTCTGGCCCCTTAGGACATGAGACACTGCCCTCCACACACACAGTTTACCCGAGTCCCTGCGGTCTCACTGGGGGAAGGGCGCAAGGTGGACCCTGGGGACCCATTCCCACGGGCCTGTCCTCCTCTTGCCACTAGGGGGCAGCCACGCAGCAGGAATTTTACGCCAAGAACTCCCGGTGGACTGAGGGCCTCATCTCCGCCTCCAAGGCTGTGGGCTGGGGAGCCACGCAGCTGGTGTATGTGGCCCAGGTGGGGGGGGGGCAGTCCTCGGGGCGGAGCCCAGGCCCCTGACGGGCCCCTCCCCTCAGGGAGTCAGCTGACAAGGTGGTGCTGCACACGGGCAAGTATGAGGAGCTCATCGTCTGCTCGCACGAGATCGCGGCCAGCACGGCCCAGCTGGTGGCAGCCTCCAAGGTGAGGCGGCCGGCGGCCCCCGGGCTCCTGGCCCTGCCCCGCCCCGCCCCAGGCTGGGAGGCCGTGGCCCACGCCGACCCTCCCCCCAGGTGAAAGCCGACAAGCACAGCCCCCACCTGAGCCGTCTGCAGGAGTGCTCCCGGGCCGTCAACGAGAGGGCCGCCAACGTGGTGGCCTCCAGCAAGTCGGGGCGGGAGCAGATCGAGGACAGAGGTGAGGGGGGTGGGGTGGGGGGCCTCAGGCTGGGGGTGTGACGTCCACTCACTCACCCGTCCCCGGCCACAGACACCATGGACTTCTCTGGCCTGTCCCTCATCAAGCTGAAGAAGCAGGAGATGGAGTCGCAGGTGGGTGCCGGCCTGGCTGGGCTCCGGCAGGGTGGGGAGGGAGGCCCGGGGCCGCGCTGAGGGGCTGTGGGCCCGGGCCTGCAGGTGCGAGTCCTGGAGCTGGAGAAGACGCTGGAGGCCGAGCGTGTGCGGCTCGGGGAGCTGCGGAGGCAGCACTACGCCGCGCTGGCCGGAGTCGTGGCAGCCGCGGACCAGGAAGAGCCCAGCCGGCCCCCCGCTGCCCCCCGCAGTGCGACCAAGAAGCCGCCCCTGGCCCAGAAGCCCAGTGTGGCCCCCAGACCGGACCAACAGGTGCCAGGTGTTGGGAGTGGCTGTCCCCGGGCTGGGCCACGTGCTGCTGGCCACAGCCACTGAGCCCCTCCCGTCTGCCTCCCGCAGCTGGACAGAAAGGAGGGTGTGTACCCGGCTCAGCTCGTGAACTACTAGCCCAGGGGGCCAGCAGCGTGGCGGCGGGTCTGAGCCCTGGGCCAGGCTGCCGGCGCTCACTGAACGAGAGGGTCCCGGCAGGCCTGAGTCTCCGCAGAGAGCGTTTTTAATATTCCGAGTTAGAACTTACTACAGTCAGTACACTGGGAGGGAGGCCGCGTGGGGGCCCCTGCCTTCTGGACTCCGATGCCACCGTGCCCTCAGCTGCTGCTCCTGGGGCCAGAGGAGAAGTGGCCGCTGTCCTGTCCACAGAGCCAGGCAGTCCAGGCCCCAGGCCCACCTCTGCTCCTGGAGGCGCCATTTCCACCCTCCCATTTCCTGAGCCCAGTGACGGCCACGCCCCATCACTCACCACCCCCTGCCTGAAGGTGGGGCCCTGGCCTGGGGCCCTCCAGCTCAGTGAGGAGGAGGAGCCTCGGGCGGGGCCAGGGCCAGGCTGGGCGGGGCCGCCTCCAGCCTCTTAGCTGCTTGCCCACTACTGACTAGCGGCCGAGGTTTAGCACTGAGCGAGGTGCCAGCTCCCTGCTCTCAATGTCCCACTGACAATAAAGCGCACTGTGACTGTTCCCAGCCCAGCTCTTCATTCCTCCGGGGCCCACAGGAAGCCTCACTGGTGCTGCCACAGAGCGGCCGTCGTCCTCTGGGGCACTTCTGTAGCTCAGGTCCGCCTCCGACAGCCCAGCCTGCACCCCCGCAGGCTCCTTGGACCCTGCCAGCTCTTGAGACCATGTGGTCTGGACACGGGGGCCGACGGGAACTGATTCCCAGCTGGCCTGGGGCTGCTCATGGTGGCCATGCAGCCCGCCTGAAGCACAGGCCAAGCACACACAGCCCATCAGGACGGCTCCTGCCCGCAGACAAGACCCCCGCCTCCCCCACGGGGGCTGCTGGGATGGCGCCCACGCCTGCTTGTTCACAAGGCAAAACCACTTCAGCCCTCCGAAAGCAAACGGTTACCACACCAAGCAGCGGGAACTGCATGAGGCAGCTCCACGTGCCGTCAGGTTTCCTGGGGTCAGTGAGGCCCTGGGACAGCCTCCCAGGGGCTCCGTCTCTAATGTGCTAGGCTGGGGACCGCTGCCACATCTGTGTGCCAGTTCCAATCCCAGGTGCCCCACTTCCGATCCAGCTCTGCTCATGCACCTGGGAAGGCGGCAGAACACGGCCCGAGTGCCTGGACCCCTGTACCCACATGGCGGCCTGGGAGCTCCAGGCTTCGGCCTGGCTGTTGCAGCCATTTGGAGTGAGCCAGCATCCGGACGGTCAGTCTCTCCCTAACTGTGCCTTTCAAATAAATCAATCTTGAAAAAAGATTCGGGCTGGAAAACCAGAGGCCTCCAGGACTGGTCTCGGCACCTGCACCTGCACCTGCACCTGCCACGCCCTCCCCATCGTCACTGTCCCCCCCTGGTCCTCCGTGTGAGCACAAAGGCCCACAGAGGCTCCAGCGAGGCCGAGCTCACGACCAGCAGCCACGAGACGTACCGTCAAGTCCAGCGTCACCAGGGTGTACAGATCTGGTTAGAAGCTTCCCGGCAGCCACTGGGAACAGAGCCTCCAGACATGCGCCCTCCCCTTTTTATAAAAAAGGGAAACTGATTTCCCAGGAGAAGCGTCCATCTCAGACAGCAAAGTCAGCTTTCCCCTGGAAACCCTCAGGACAACGTGCGGGGACGGCGCCCTGCTTATACAGTGATGGGGGGCAGACACGCCAGAGCACACGGCACAGCTCGTCAGGGAGGGCACACGAGGGCACACGCATGGCTCAGCGGGCACGTGAGCACATGGCACAGCTCGGGTAGGCATGCAAGGGCACACGCATGGCTCATGTGTGAGTATGTGGCATGTCTCGGTGGGGGCGGGCACGCGGGGGCGGCGGGCATTCGGCCTAGCGATTAAAGCTCCTGCATTGCACGCGGGAGAGCTCAGGGCGGGGTCTCAGCTCCACTGGGTCCCTGCCACACACGTGGGAGACCTGGATTGAGTTCCTGCCCCCTAGCATTTGGGGAGTGACCCAGTAGAGGGCGGTACTTGCTACTAAAAGCCACACCCCAGCACACAAGGGCACTGGCATCACCTGGCATCACCGCACAGGAGGCGGGGCGGCAGGGTCCGCCCTCCCAGCCTGGAAGGGGAAGCAACCCCGGGAAACGCGGGAGCGCTGTCAGCAGCTGCGCGGCACGCGGCCACCCCAGGGACGGAGGATACGTTCTCTCCGCACGGCAGATACACCCTCGCTGCCCGTCCTTGCCGCTCATGACTCTAATGGGAAAGGCAACAGGCCCTGCCACTCGTGCCGCAGGCCAAACAGCCAGAGCCCCCGGCGGCTCGTTTCTGTCTTCAAGACCGGGGCCCTGGCCACTGCCACTGCCACTGCCACACCAAACCCGTCAGGTCCACCCCAGGCAGAGACGCGACACGACTGTTACCAACGATTCTGTTTATTAAAAAGGGTCCCGCGGCTTTACAACCACAGTGCCACACGCAGCCCTGCACAGGGGCGGTGAGGCCGGGCTGTGGGCGTTCCCGACGGAGGCCAGCGGCAGAGGTGTGGGGGAGAGTGTGGCACCGCTCACTTGAGATTCACAGAACATGGCAAGCCCACGTGATGGGCATGGCAGTGAGCCATCCTACACGGCTCTGTTTTAAACAGTCACGACAGAGCTGGAGTCGAGGACCAGGAGTGTACGGACAAGGAACCACTGGGACAGGCCCGCTTCAGCTGGCTCGATTCTGTCACCCTGCATGGCAGCCTGCTGGTCCCGGGCCAGGGCCTTGGCTGCCTGACAGGTGACAGTGACAGAGTGGAGCCACAAGTCCCGCCCAGGGGCCCGTGCCAGGCTTCCTTGTTGACAGGTGTGTGGTGCACCCCCACCCCAGCGGGGGCCTGGGGTTCTGCACACGTGGCACCAGCAGGGGAGACCCCAGGGGGCAGGAAGAGCCTGCGTCCCCCTGCCCAGCACTTCCTGAGTCCGGCTGCCAGCCAGCCAGAGGCAGAGAACACGGGCTAAGCGTTTCCTGGTTCGAGGCGGCCAGACTTCCTGTACTAAGACAACACGCGTGGACGAGCCCTTCCACGAACACAGAGCCACCAGGGCGCCAGCCCCTGCGGGCGTCCCAGTCCTGGCGCCAGGGAAGCTAAGGCACAGCACGGCACCGCAGGCACGACCGTGCACTGCTCGCACAGAAGGAAGTTGCTTTCATTTCTTATCTGCTTTTCAATCTGGCCAAACAATATTTGCATTTTTTAAAAGTTTCCCTGAATGGTCTTATGTCAAAAAGGTTTCTTTCCAAATATAAAACAGGAGAACTTCACATGTAGTAAAAATACTGAGGGAGCATTTCTTCATAGAAATCCTGGGGCTGGCGCGAGGCGCGAGGGGCTGGGCACGATCCCCGGTGCCACGTCCCACTCACCCTGGCTCCTCGCGCCCGGCCTTTGGGCATGGCTGTGGCCGAGTCACCTCTGCCGGGGTGGCTGGGTGGGTGGGGCCTGCGGCACCTGTCCCACTCCGCCTCAGGGAACAGCAGAGCCATGCGGCAGAGCCCAGCCACAGCCGCACCTTCCAGGCTGGCCGACGCCGGGCCGGGGCACGCGGAACCCTCATTCGCAGATGAAACATAAATTAACCATGCTTACGAAGTCCAGCTCAGACGGGAGGACCACGACTCCAGGGGGGAACTGGGAGACCGGCCGTCCCCTCCCAAACGCACGAGCCGGTCGACATGACGGCGGCGGCCACACCAGAAGGCAAACCGTCAAGACGCAGGGCACACAAACACGGCCTCGACGCAGAGCCTGGGTTTCTACTTCTACTCACCACTGCCCTACAGTTCTAGAATGGACGCTGGCCCGGAGCGCCTGGCCCCCGGCACAGCAGCTGGGCCCACGGCCGCCTCGCAGCCCAGCACAGCGGGCGGAGGGCGTCTCCCAGCAGGACGGCGTGGCGCTCACTGCAGGATGAAGCCTGGCTGGTGCGGAGGCAGCCGGGGCGGGGGTCTCTGAGGGAGAGCCGGTGGGTACGGCGACACGAACTGTGCGGAGAACCCGGGCTGTGGAGGGAGGCCCCCGCGGGGAGGCAGGGGCGGGCACGGTAATCCTGCGTATGGAGCGGCCTGTCCCGCGCCTGTGGCGGCAGGTGAAGGGGGTGGCTAAGCGTCCTGCAGGCACCTGGGGGGGCGGTGGCGGGATGCGCCGAGGCGCGACAGAAGGGGGCCCGCTGGCCTCTGGGGCGGACGCCTGTTCGGCCACCCGGGGTGGCAGCGGGGCCGGGGCCTGCGGGGGTCTCTGCCCCTTCAGCACCATCTCCTGGAGCTTCTCGATCTTCACCCTCCGCGTGTGCGCCAGCTTCCGCTTGCTCTGGTAGACTGTCGATGAAGGAGTCCAGAGGAAGTTCTCCGTCCAGAAACTGCTCGGCCATGTTCTGGGGGCAGGGGAAAGCCGACTGTAGCACCCGCCCCCTCGGGGGGCTCCCCGGGCCCACGCTTCACCACCACTCAGCTGCAGACCTAGGGGTGCACGTGCAGGCCTCGGGCTCAGGAGCAGGCCTTCGGAGCAGGGGTCTTCTGGTGGCCCGAGCTGCCAGGCGTCCCAGATAAGGAGGCGACCACTGTCTCCACTTACGGCTTCTCTCGCTGAGCCGGCCAGAGCCCACCACTTCCTGGCTTTTTGCCTGGCTGCATCCCGCCTGACAGTCTCACCCAAACAGGGTCAGCAGGAGAGAAATTTGCTAGGACCCCAGCAAAGGACAATGCCACCTGACCCTGGCAACACAGCACCAGGCCCGGCTTGCTTTACCTGGGCAACACGGCCCGAACTCATTTCCCGACTGCCTATTCAGGCCCAGCACCCAGCTGGCATGGTCTGCAAAGCTCTGTGGCTGCAGCTGACTCAGGCCTTGGCCACGAGCACCCATGGGGGCAGTGCTGACCCTCAGGGCAGCATGCACCTGACCACCCCCGCTGCTCCCTGGACCCCTGCATGGCGTTTTCCCAACCCACACAGGGAGGTGCCACCTCCTGGCCGTGGAGGTGTGGTGCTGGCGCTCACCACCCTGGAGGAAGTGGGCCTGCTAACTGCCCCTCCGCTGAGGCTGCCCTGGCCTTACCTCAGTGTCCTCCTCAATCTTGGCCCCTTCTGCTTGGAGAAGCGCTAGCAGGGTCTCCAAGGAAGCACTGCTGGACTGCTTATCTGGAGGAAGCGAGAGGCACAGTGAGCCAGGGCCATTCAGGCATGCGCCTTCCAAACCTCCGCGCCACCCAGATGTCTCCCCAGAGTCTTTACCCAGAGCGGTCATGGGAGCGTCACCTCCACGGAGGGCTGACTTCCCTGCTAGCTGAAAACCCACAGCACGGGGCTGGCGCCTGCAGCTCACTAGGCTAATCCTCCGCCTGCGGTGCTGGCACACCGGGTTCTAGTCCCTGGTTGGGGCACCGGATTCTGTCCTGGTTGCTCCTCTTCCAGGCCAGCTCTCTGCTGTGGCCCGGGAGTGCAGTGGAGGATGGCCCAGGTGCTTGGGCCCTGCAGCCCATGGGAGACCAGGAGAAGCATCTGGCTCCTGCCTTCGAATCAGCGCGGTGCACCGGCCACAGTGCACCGGCCGTGGCGGCCACTGGAGGGTGAACCAACGGCAAAGGAAGACCTTTCTCTCTGTCTGTATCTCTAACTCTGCCTGTCAAAAAATAAATAAATAAATAATAATAATAATAATAATAAAAACCCAAGGCACGAGCAACTGCACAGAATAAGCGCCCGGGGGTGAGGGTGGTGGCATGGGGCTTGGTGAGACTTTATTTTTTAAGATTTACTTACTTACTTGAAAGGTCAAGTTACAGAGAGGGAGAGACAGAGACAGAGATCTATCCACTGGTTCACGCCTCAAATGGCTACAATGGTCAGGGCTGGGCTGAAGCCAGAAGCCTGGAACTCCGTCCAGGTCTCCCATGTGGGTAGCAGGGACCCGAGTACTGGGCCATCCTCTGCTGCCTCCCCAGGCGCGTTAGCAAGGAGCTGCATTACAGAGTGGCAGCCAGGACTTGAGCTGGCGCCCCTACGTTCCTCCGGGTGCCGACATCCCAGCAGCTTAACTGGCTGTAACGGGCTAGAGCACGTAGGTGCTGCCTGGGACCCCCACGTCCTCCATGAGGGCGGTGCCTGTTCCCGTCCCAGCTACTTGCTTCTGACCTGGCTTCCTGCTAGCGTACACCTGCAAGTATTGAGTCCCTGTCACTCACACGGGAGGTCTGCATGGAGTTCCAGGCTCCTGGCTTGAGCCTCACTCAGCCCTGCTGCCGCCAGCACTTGGGAAGTGAACCAGTGGAGGGAAGATCTGTCCCCACCTTTCAAATAAAATGAAAATGAGCCCAAAAAAATTCGTTTTAAAGGGGCGAGTATTGTGGTGTCGTGGGCTAAGCTGCCACCTGCCAGGCTGACATCCCGTACTGGGGTGCTGGCTTGAGTCCTGGTTGCTCTGTTTCCAATCCAGCTCCCTATTCATGGGCCTGGGAAGCAGCAGATTTTGGTTCAAGTACTGGGGCCCTGCTACCCACGTGGGAGACCCGGATGCAATTCCAGGCTTCTTGCGTTAGCCTGGCCCAGCTCCAACAATCACAGCCAATGTGAGTGAAACAGCAGATGGAAGATGAATCTCTTACCCCTCTGTCATTCTACCTTTAAATAAATAATAAATCTTAAAAAAAAAAAAAAAAAAAAAAAAAAAAAAACAAAAAAAACACAGCACCAGGCCAGATCTGGGGACAGCACCAGAGAGCCCAGGGCCCTGTGTCACAATCCTGGAGGGCGGAATATTTCCAATATGTGACAGCAGCTAACCACAGCTTTCTAGCGCTCTCTTGTTGAGAGAAACTTCAATATACACAGATTAAGTGCAGGACTCACGTTTTTACCCCAGTAAACCCTGACCGCCGCTTCCTAGAGGAAGACTCAGGATTTCCAGGGAGCTCCCTCGCGCCCACTCCCAGCGACGCCCCCGGAGGCAGCCCTACACGGCCTGGCTCCACACTTCCCGCCAACGGAGCAGGCGGCACCTGCTCTGCGCCGGCTTCTCTTGCGTCCGTTCATTCCAGATAATACTTCAGGGTCTGAGTATCGAACTCACTCACTCAGTCCTCTGCAAATGGACATTTAGCTCCTTTCCAAACGCAGCTATCAGAAGAGCTAACGGGAACGTTACCGTGCCGTTTCTGCTGTGCCCGTACCGGGCGTGGCACTGCAGAACCATGCCTCCAAGGTGGTTTTACCAAATCACATGCCTCCCACCCCCACCCTGCTTGCTGTTGCCCACCCTTTACTTCTCTCCACTCTCCTGAGTTTGTTATTATGAATTTTTGCTCAAGTTAGGGATTCAATGAAGAGACTGCAAAACCAGTGTCAGAATGTAAACATTCCTGAAGGGGAGGGTTTTAACCCAGCTCCTCTTAACCTGAACGTCTCTTTAAAGAAGTTCTCAAAAGCATCCGGGACTCTCAACACCACCAAATTCCTACTGAGGTGGGACATCAAAACGTTCCAGTGCGAGGACCACTGTTTCACTGTGCACGCCGAGAGCCAAAGGACGAAGCATTTACTGAAAATCACAATTCAGAAAACTGCCTTTTTCGCGTGTCTTTTTTTGGTGGGGGGGGGGGGGCAGGCAGAGTTAGACAGTGAGAGAGACACAGAGAGAAAGGTCTTCCTTCCGTTGGTTCACCCCCGAAGTGGCCGCTATAGCCAGCGCTGCTGTGCTGATCCGAAGCCAGGAGCCAGGCGCTTCCTCCTGGTCTCCCATGCAGGTGCAGGGCCCAAGGACCTGGGCCATCCTCCACTGCACTCCCGGGCCACAGCAGAGAGCTGGACTGGAAGAGGAGCAGCCGGGACTAGAACCCGGTGCCCATATGGGATGCCGGCGCCGCAGGCAGAGGATTAACCTAGTGAGCCACGGTGCCGACCCCAAGGCGTCAGTCTTGAATTTAACCCGTGCTGAAGTCACTTTTCAAGGAACAACAACTCTGAACACAAACTCCCCGGGCAGCGGCCCCATCTCAACCCCACAGTGTCCCTAACCGGCTCCCCTCCCCGGGCAGCAGCTCCGGTCTTCTCGGCTCTAGTCTCGAAAGCTCGCCCTGTCCAAGTTACCTAATTTAGTCTTCTTTATCTGATAGGCTTCAAAGAGAACCTGCAGCTCCTGGTATTTCTGGGTCAAACACGCTTTCCGGGCGTCCAGCTGGGGCTGGTACAGAAGGTTTCCCTCTGCCAGGCTCCGGTTGCTGGCGAGCGTCATTTCTTTGTTGAGCTGGACAGTCTGCGTCTGCGAGGAACACACAGGCTGATGAGACCCCCCCAGTGCATGAGCTCGCCCCCAGTCCCCAGGAGCCCGGCAGCGGACTTCCCTGCCCAGACTCCACCCCCCACCCCCACCCCCTGCGCGTGCTCAGCAGGGCCGCTTCCTTTCCAGCAGGCTCCCAGGTCGGGCGCCCTGGGACTCCGGGGAAGCTTTCACTGCCGTGGCTCCTCCAGGAGCTGTAGGGACTCGGGGCTCAATGTTTGTAAGACAAGTTTCTGCCACGACAAAGCAAGCTTCAGAATCACTTTCATCAGCGAGGGTGGCTAACGCAGGCTCTGGGATCAGACCCAGCGATCAAACACGCCGCCTCAGAGGCCCTGGGAAAGAGCGTGCTGACTGGAGCCTGGCTCTCGCATCATCCCGCCCCCCAGCCCAGCACTTCTGGGTCTTCCCAGCTCCCGGCCCGGCCCGTGAGCAAATCGGAACCAAAGCTGGGGCGGGGCTGGGGGAATACTTTGCCCAACAGGGGCTCCACACTGCCTTCAGGCCCCAACAGGCTACTGGGTGGTAAAGAGGCCCACCTGCTCAGACCTCGTTCAGAAGGCGAGAAACAAAACCTAGCCAAGGAGTCTGGGCTAAACAGTTCACGGAAAAGTTGATCTCGGTGCAAGAAATATTTTAAATCTATGCATAGTTTGTCTATAACTGGTATTTTTCAAGAACTTTTTGAAAACCCCTCATAGTTAGAGGAAGTTAGAAAACATGAACTCTTCTCACTGCCCCGTGACCGTGACCCCGGCCCTGCCCGGCCAAGTCCCAGCAGCACAGGTGCCCTCGCTCAGGGTCTGTGTTTCCCCTTAAGGGGCTCTTCCTCCCCGCCCCCCAGTCCTCCCATTTGCTAGCACGCAGGAGTCTGTTTTAGCTGCTCCTTCCTTCCTTCCTTCCTTCCTTCCTTCCTTCCTTCCGAGTCTGGGTATGGGTTCCCGGCCCATCACACCCATGCATTCCTCTTCTTGCACAGTTCCCAGCACCCTCACAGCGCAGAGAGAACAGGAGAAGCCCCGCTCAGTGCCTCCACCAGGACACCCCGACTACCCCCCAGGGCTCTCTCTACCCCGCAGACACACGACCTGCAGCTCCCAGACGCGAAAGATGGGCTGAAAACTGCAAGCGGTTTGGTAACAATGGAAAAACACACACCCGTTCAACACTACGGAGTAACAGGTGGGAGTGTCCCCAAAGCCAGGGCAGCAGAAATGCGCCTGGTTCCTTCCTGCTGCTCAGAGCCAGCACAGCCCCGATCTGGAGAGACCTAGCGTAGCCTGGCTCTGGGCAGGCAGGTGAGGCTCCGCCCCCATCTCCCGGCACGCGGAGGGGGGGCCTTTCCTCCAATTGTCATGGCCAATTAAAAGAACAAACAAAAATACACCATTGTGCAGTCACTCTGGAAAGACGTGGCACCTTCTTGTAAAAGGAATCGCAGAGTAACCATGTGACCCAGAAACTGTCGTCCCCGGCACTTATTCCAGAGAAAGGAATTTACGTTCCCACAAAAACCTGCTTGTATTTGTAGCAGCACTATTTCTAACAGCCAAAATCTTGAAGCAACCCAGATTATGAGCCAACAGGTGACTGGTTAAACATTCCATCCACACCACGAAGCGAGCTAACCGCTGACCCCAGTCACGGATAAAGCTCCAGGGATCTGTTACAATGAAGAAACAAGACAACCCCATAGGACCACTACCCCACCATCCCCAACGCACAAGGATCTTGAAACAACAGAATTACAAAATGGAGAACACGTGAGCGCCGGGGGAGGCGGTGGGGAGCAGTGGGCCACCTCAGGAGGATGCCGTCAGCATGCCAACCCTGACTCCACAGTGTCCGGGACTGCACCAGCTGCCACCAGCGGGGACCGGCAGCGGGGCACAGGCCCTCTCCGATCCATTTCTGACAACTGCAGGTCTCAGAAAGATGGACAAGCCACCATGTGCAGAGAGCTCTCCCTCCTTCCGGGCTCTGCAGATGGATGGGCAGGGTGTTCACGCTCACAGCCCACAGACTGGAACCCAGGTCTCGGCCCGCAGACCACGGCTCTGAGAACCCCGCCCCTCTGACTGCGATCAGTTCTTTGCTCAGTTAACACTCAGCCAAGCCCCGAGTTAGTCTCGAATAAACCACCTGGTATAAAGGGACTGTGTTCCTGAGCACGCTCACTTCCCGCTCCGTTCTTAGAGAACGCGTACCTGGAGCTCAGTCTCTCTTCCCTCTGCCCTCCCGGCCACCCTCTAACCCAGTTCCCGTGGCACGCACTCCTTTGTGGCGCCAGCTGCCATCGGTGGGATTAAACGTTCGCCTGCTCACCGCCTGTCTTCTCCAGGGAAATACGAACCACACACTTGCTGTCCCTGGCACACCGAGCACAGGTCAGCCGATCAGTGAGGGTGTGCGGAATCCATCTGAGAGGCTGCTTCTAAAGAAACGCAAGTCACGTGTAGACTAAAGCAAAGGGATCTGCGGGCGCCGGCGCTGTGGTGCAGCGGGTAAAGCCGCCGCTTGCAGTGCCAGATCCCATAGGGTGTCGGTTCAAGTACCAGCTGCTCCTCTTCCGACCCAGCTCTCAGTGTGGCCTGGGAAAGCAGTGGAGGATGGCCCAAGTCCTTGGGCCCCTGCACCCGCGTGGGAGACCTGGAAGAAGCTCCCAGCTCCAGCCATTGCAGCCATCTGGGGCCAGCAGATGGAACACCTCTCTCACTCTGCCTCTGCCTCTCTTTCAAATAAATAAATAAATCTTAAAAAGAGAAAAGGGATGTGTTTGCTAAGCAGTATTACTGTACCCCAAATCCTTTATGCGGCAGGTGGGTTCTGAGTCTGTGGGGGTCTCACACTGGGTAGAATTTCCCCCAAAGTCCTAAGCTCAGGCAGCAGTCAGTGCCGGTCTCCGAGGCGACCCAGGGGAAGGCAGAGTTAAATGTTTCGATTCCAGCATGATGGTAAAGACTATCGCATAGCAATGGTTCTCAACTTTGTATATCAGTCACCGCCCTAATTTTTTTAAACTTCTTTTATTTGAAAGGCAGAGAGGGAGACACAGCAATCGATTTGCTGGTTCATTCCCCAGATGTCCACAACAGCAGCAGGAGCGGGGCCAGACGGGAACTCAACCAGGTCTTGGACGTGGACAGCAGGGACCGATGCCTTAAGCCGTCGCTCGTGCCCCCCAGGGTGCAAGCCAGACGCCTGGGATGAGGAGTGCTGTCAGGACACGAGCCCTGGCACTCCGACCTGGGCTGCAGGCATCGCAAGCAGCATCCCCAGCGCCACCTGGCGTGCCCGCCCCACGACCACCTTCTGAAGTGGGCTAGGGGTGTCCAGAGCCTGACACCCACGCTGACCAGCTACCAGGCCGGACCTTCTAGGCGAGGCCCACACCCCCTTCTCAAGGCTCCCAGGAGACCCCAACACATCGCTGCCCCGAAAGCACCAACTCCACGGGTGCGAGTCAAGGCCACTCGGCCCACGTGTGAGGAAGCCACTCATTTATACTGGATCACACGGTCACCACCAGCAAAGGGCCAAATAAAAATCCAACGGACCGTTAAACTGGCGGTGACTAGTCCCCGAGTGTTCAGATGAACCGGAGTAAGTGCAGGCACAACTAAGAGGCCACCCAGAGCACAACCTGCAAGTGGGCAACAGCAGGGACCCAGGTCGGGGGCACTCCCTTGGGCCTCTGGGGAGACAGCTCCTCCATACTCATCCTGGACGCCGTGTGGGACAGACCCCCCTCTGCCGGCCCCTTCACGTCCCAGCTGGGAACGGAGGGGAGGGAACTCCAGCCCTGCTCACTGGCAAAACAAAGGCTCCTCCTTGGGAAGAGAACACCGCGGGGCAAGGCCCGAGGGGCGGCCACTACCCGGCCTGGACGCCAGCGATTGGATCCGGACGACAGACCTGAGCATGCTTAGAGAGCAGACCTGAGCATGCTTAGAGAGCGCCAGGCATTGCTTTAGGGCCCATCAGTGTGAAAACAATGAATCGTAAATTGCTGATGTCCTCATTTTCGTAGGAGGCTCAAACAGCAACCTCCCGTGGAAAAGAGGGTGGCCAAGAGGGTGGCCAACCGCCCCGTATTTCTCACAACTCTTTCTCTAAAGCCACGGCGAAACCATTCAGGACCACTTCCTTCTGGTGAAGACACACGTGTATAAATGTGCTCAGTTTCACTTCCCTTTCTGGTTTTCTCTGACGTTGCTTCTGCCCATGTTGGTGTGTTAGGACTGTTAACCTAAAGTTAACAGCAATTTCTCTTTTTTTAAACATATTTGTCATCTCACATCATGTCTTTTGTTGTAAGACATTTGGAATTTATTCTCTTAGCAATTTTGAAATGTATAATAAATTATAATGAACTATAATTGCCATTTGTGCAACAGATTTTTTTAAAATTAATTTATTTGAAAGGCAGAGTTGTAGAGAGAATCTTCCTTCCAATGCTTCACTCCCCAGATGGCCGCAACGGCCAGAGCTGGGACAGTCTGAAGCCGGGAGCCAGGAGCTTCTTCCGGGTCTCCCACATGGGTGCAGGGGCCCACGGATTTAGGCCATCTTCTACTGCTTTCCCAGGCCACAGCAGAGAGCTGGATCGGAAGTGGAGCAGCCAGGACTCAAACTGGCACCCACATGGGATGCTGGCACTGCTGACGGCGGCTTTACCCGCTACACCACAGCATGGGCCCCAGCAGCAATTTCCTGAATGGTGTGATTTGCACACGTCTCTCTCTGCTTTCAGCTATCATAGGGTTTGTTTTTTTTTTTTAAGATTTATTTATTTGAAAGGCAGAGTTACTGAGAGGCAGAGGCAGAAGAGAGAAGACAGAAGAGAGGGAGAGGGAGAGAGAGAGAAAGAGAGAGAAAGGGAGAGGAAGGGAGAGGAAGAGAGAGGAAGAGAGAGGAAGAGAGAGGAAGAGAGAGGAAAAGAGAGGGAGAGGGAGAGGGCAGAGAGGTCTTTCATCCACTGGTTCATTCCTCAAATGGCTGCAATGGCAAAAGCTGGGCTGATTTGAAGCCAGGAGCTTCCTCTGGGTCTCCTACGCGGATGCAGGGGCCCGAGCACTCAGGCCATCTCCTACTG